ATATACATTTCCTCTAGCAGATAGAAGAGAATGTCCTGAAGTTTTTGTCAGTACATTATCCATTGACCAAACAGAGAGAAATACTAGATATTGAAGACTATATAGATTAATTCTTCACACTTTGTCATGTAGTTTATATATCAAGGGTGGGAATCTGCAAGATTGTAATTAATCAAGCTCTTATTCTGCTCCGCTCTATCTTACTTTTTCTCCAGGTATTATACAAGCACAAGATCATAATTTTTGGTGGCTTCTACGATACTCTACGTGAAGTAAGGTAGTGATTTACTAATTGCATAAGAATTACTTCAATGTTATCTCTTTTGTTTGTAGTGTTTCTCCTTTTATTACTCCCTGGATCTTCAATTATTTTGGTTTTTTGATATCTGAGAAATCCTTTTACAGTGAAGTAGTAAATGAGAATAGACAATTTAAGCCTTTTCTAGTAGGTTTAGCTGTTTAGGAGTGAAATGATCATCAATGTGATAGGACATATGTTCTCTAACCTTTGGTTTTGATGTAACATCTTTATACGTTAACATGCACCATCACTGCTCGTTTGCAGGTATTACAATGATCTCTATGTTTTTGACTTGGATCAATACAAGGTAAACCTACCTTCCATGGCACAAGTTTCAGAAGTCTCCGCCCATTTCAACTTTTATTCCTCCCTGAAGCTTTTTCTGCCTTTATTGAATGAATTTTCTTGTCTCTTTGACAGTGGCAAGAAATAAAACCCAAGCCTGGTGCCATATGGCCTACAGCTAGAAGCGGTTTCCAGTTTTTTGTTTATCAAGATGAGGTTAGTTTACGAGATACATGTCTATGTCACATCCCTCGCGTCAAAATTCTGCATTTTTCCCTGAATAAAGTTGATAGAAGACGAGAGATCGGTTTGGCAAAGGTCGAAGCATAGCCATTTACTTATAGAAAAGTCTTTTCCTGCTGCAGATATTCTTATATGGTGGTTATTCAAAAGAAGTCTCATCGGAGAAAAGCTCTGAGAAAGGAATTGTTCATGCAGATTTGTGGTCTCTTGATCCCAGGACCTGGGAATGGAACAAAGTATGTATTTGTTTCATGCACTTATGGAGTTTCTTCTTACACTGTTTCCATGAAAAAAAGTGGTATCACCTGGAGAGTAGTGTCCACACTTATGTTTTGTAATTTTTATCAATCATAAATTTTAACAACCCTGTAGATTTAACTTTTTTTGTTCTTTCTTTGTAACGCAATAAAACTTGATGTACGTAGGTGAAGAAAATTGGGATGCCTCCTAGCTCCCGTGCCTCATTTTCGGTTTGTGTCCACAAAAAGCGTGCTTTGCTGTTTGGTGGTGTCGTGGACATGGAAATGGAAGGTCAGGAAATGGTATCCTTGTATCATTTGTTGTAACATCAGAACCTGTAAGTTGAATTATTATTGACTTCTGTAATTTTTTTTGGCAGGTGATGTAATGATGAGTTTATTCTTGAATGAACTCTATGGCTTCCAGTTAGATAATCGCCGCTGGTAAGCATCCAATAGATGTTCTTGTGAACTTTCTTCTCAAACGTACTTTTCGCTTTTCTAGAGATGCTTAAATATAAGTTAAGTTTCATTAGTTTTCTCATTTTGTATAACTTACTCTCCTTTTCTGTGGAGTATAGGTACCCAATAGAGTTACGGAAAGAAAAATCATCAAAAGATAAGGTATGACTACAAGAGTTTCTGTTAAGTTCTACAGAAAAAGAAAACCATCTTTTGCATCTATTGTTCAACTTAATGGGCCTTATGGTTAAACATTTCAAATAACAGGCAAAGAAGAATTTAGAGACAAAAGCTATGTCATCTAACAATGATGATGAGATGGATTCAGCTGAAGAAGATGAATCGCCAGCCACGGGTGATACAGCAGGCTCTTCTGATGGGATATCCGAACATATGGCAGCAAGTCTAACTGTTGAGGGAAATAGATCTAGTGATGTGTCTGATAAAGGCAAAGGAACCAAAGCTAGACTAGATCCACAAGTTTCTGTCTCAGAAGAGGTTATTCATTTAACATTTGTGTAACTTCCTTTATGAGCTTTGATGCAAAGTTCTAAACCATTGCAATTTTTCTTTTGTGTGTGCAGGTTGTAAAACCATGTGGACGTATTAATTCTTGTATGGTCGTTGGGAAGGATACATTATACATTTATGGTGGCATGATGGAGATAAAAGATAAAGAAGTGACTCTTGATGATTTGTATTCGCTTAATCTTAGCAAACTTGACGAGTGGAAGTGTATCATTCCGGTTTGTTGTTCTACACCAATCTCCATATCTTTAGGTATAAATTGATAAAGACTGTTTAGGCAATGCGTTTCTTGGTATGTTTTTGAAACAGGCGACTGAGACTGAATGGGTGGAAGTGTCAGAGGATGATGAAGGGGACGAAGACGAGGATGAAGATGATAGTGAAGATGAAGGAAACAGTGAAGAGTCTGATGATGAAGATGATGATGAAGAAGTAGAGGTACATATATATGGTTTTAATTTTTTCTCTTCTCTGTCTTGTTGACTTTGAATATGAAGTGAGTCTAATCTTGATTTGGCTATGTGAAAATCTAGGCTATGGATGTTGATGGATCAGTGAAAGTTGGAGAAGTTGTTGCAATGATAAAAGGAGAAGGAAAATCTCTCCGGAGGAAAGAGAAACGAGCTCGGATTGAACAGATTAGAGCTAATCTTGGACTCTCTGATTCACAGAGAACCCCAGTGGTAAGATTGGCTTTTGAGCATTTTTCCGGTTTTCTGTTTGAAGCTTATATATCAACTAATTTGATCATGTTGTTTGTCTTTGAAGCCTGGAGAAACTTTGAAGGATTTCTATAAGCGTACTAATATGTACTGGCAAATGGCTGCCTATGAGCATACCCAACATACCGGCAAGGTACGCTAAGATATGGTTCAATCAAAGCATATAATGACATATTGTAGCAATTTTGAGTCATGACATAATGATCAACATGTGATTGGGCATTGTAGGAACTGCGGAAGGATGGTTTTGATCTTGCAGAAACTCGGTATTTGGAACTCAAACCCATTCTAGATGAGGTAAAACCACATCAGTCTCTCTTTTTTCTTCTTATTATATAGTTTAGAAACTGATTCAAGTTTTGATGTGTGTGATAATAATTGAATGTAAATCTGCAGCTGGCCATACTCGAGGCGGAGCAAAAGGCTGAAGAAGCAGAAGGACCTGAGGCTAGTGGCAGCTCTAGAAAAGGAGGCATTGCAAAGAAGAAGAGATAAAGGTTTTGCAGCTTTAGCAGAAACTTTCATATAATACAGTAAAACTAGGGTTTGACCCGTGCCCGGGGTGATAGTTTCTGAATTTGTATTTTTATTAAAAATGTTTATTTAAATATTTCGACATTTTATGCGAGAGATTTTTAACCTTTGTTATTCGTTTATAGTATGAAAATTAGGCATTTTAATCCATTTAAAAAAAGAAATAAATTAAAGCATTGATCGTAACCACATATTAAATATGATAGATTTAACCGAGATACATAAAACTCAAATAACTATAATATAATAAGATAGTTTAAAGAAAAAAATTGAAAATAAAACATTATTCTTTAGAAAAATTATACATCATGTATTTCATAAGATAAAAAGTTTTAGCTGTGTGGACACGGATTAGAACTAATTTTTTTCTTTCTTTCAAAACTAAAACATGCTTTATTATAATTTCAAAACAATCCAACCAATCAGAAAATAATATGCAGAATCCAAATTGTCAAAACAGCAAAAATATAATTAATTTTGTATAGAAAGTTGAAACAGATAGAGTAATATTCAAAAGTTTAATCAAAATAAAATATTTATAAAAAGAACTTTTTTTATTCGATTTAATTATAGATTTTAATTAAAAAACCATATTAAATGAAAAAAAAATTACTTTGGATACCTACTAAATGAGGTTATATACGAAACAATTTATATTATTTTGTTTTTAAAAATTCAAATCATAACATGTACAGAAAAAGTTTTAGATTTTTTTTGATAGATTTTTTATATTGTGATTCAAATTATTTTATTAAATAAATTTAAACAAAGATGATAGAAGATGTATACTGATTTTAAAAGAAATTATTATGATGGAATTAAATTGAATCTCATATCTTCCTTATTTACTAATTTTCGTAGTTGCCAATTAAGGAAAGAGAATGATAAATTTAATTTCATTATTTGGTTGTAAGCATAATATGCAATGGCATATATTGTAATTTGTCTAGTAAAGCTTGTCTTAATTAGAAATTGCTCTAAGAGTGAACCTAGTGATGACACCTAAGCAATGACATTCTTGTTAATAACACATTAGACAAAGGTTATTTAGTTAGTGTTTTCAAGATTCTTTTGAGTCTACTTAATGCGAGGCTATAACACTTTGTGTAAGAATTTATGAATACGTTTTGAATTAATTTATAAAGGGATTTTTACAAAAATAGGCACTTTTAAAATTTTGTTATAGAAGAACACAAAATGTTAGTTTATTCGAATATGAAACTTTTAATTCACACCGGGTGACTCGTTTCGTGTTTGAAAGATCTGGTTACGGTTCTCAATAGCACTGTCATACTAATTCGTCTGCAAACCAAAAAATTCCAGTTCGTGTACAAAACCACATCTTTGAGGATGTTCACATTGGTTTTCTTAAGCTCCAAGAAACAAGTTACCTTAATCGTATAATTATAGGGTTTATCTTAGTAATTGTCAGAGATGGATCAGTGTGCTTTAGGGTTTTGATGCGAGAAGGATATTTTGTAATGTACTGCTAAAATGTCTAAATGCCCTACAAATCTATAATTTTAATAAAGAAGATATTGTTCAGTTTAAGAAAGTAAATGCTCTTTCCGTACTTAACTTTTGTATAAACTTTAAAGCAATACAATCAAAATTCAGAAGAGTAATGATCACTAGTTTCAACAAAAACGTTTACAAATTCGATTTTCTTGAAGTGAAGACAGAAATTCAAAGAAGATGCTTGACCATGTAAGGACCTTCCAATTCATACCCCAACTTTCTGTAGTAATGTCGAGTTCCTACACCTGAGATGACACCGATCTTGTTAGATCGATGTTCTCTTCTCGCAATCCTCTCTGCTTCTTCCATCAAAAGTGTTCCGTATCCCTGCAAAATTCCACACACAGATAATCAGAATCCAAGGTTTCTCATTTAAGTGTGTCAGATTTCGAGTTGAATTCTTTGGGAGGTACCTGATGTTGCAACTTATCAGCTTCTCGACCATGAACTGGTACAGCCGTTCCATATACGTGAAGCTCCCGGACAACAGAACATTTTCCCATGAGTTCGGGACAAGTTACGTTCTTACCGCATTTCCTCAAACGTAATAAGCCAACAAGAATGTCCTGCATCCACAAAAGATGAATGTTGAGAATCTGTTAGAGCATTGACAGATTCTATGACCCAAAAATAGTGCTCAAGGCTTTCAAGTTTCTCATCAAGCTCTAAGCTAGTGCATGCCAATGAAATTTAGAGATAAACATGACTTAATGTATCAAATAAGTGAGACGAAGTATGAAATCATAAAAGTCAAAGCAATCCCCAAACAAAAGTCAGACAGATAGGGTAATAGTTTCTTCACTAGCATTCCAGGCAACTAACATATGAAACTTGAGGATGAGATATATATGAGTCTTATACCTGGAGTGTATCTTCATATGAAAGGAATGTCTCCCAACCTTCATTTGCAGTGTAGTCACGACGCACAAGCTCTACTTGTTCTGGCTTAATTTTGTGATGAATGTCCTGTAAACTCAGACCGTATGAGTAAGAAATTCAGCATTCCAAAACAACAAAACAAAGGGTGAAACAAATTTACCTGAATTCCAGCTTCACGAGTACGAACATCACGGCATTTAAGGCCCAAGTCATCCATTCTGGCCAGTGCCAGTTCACGAAGATTTCCTTTCTCAACCCCAGACGTAACCAGAGGCATAGGAATATCACGTTGAACTCTATAAACACGTGTCCATGGAGGTACCATGGAGAGAATCCTTGCAACTATATCAACAAGCTGCTCAGGTGGATAGTTTCGGTACCTGCAGAAAATTAAAAACGATTAGAGCTTTCCCCATGTAACCTGCACGCAGACTTTTCTTTGAGCGAAAGAACACTATACCTCCCAGTTTTCCACAGTTCATAAAGGCCAGTTCCACGTATCACAAGGGTAGGATATATTTTCAACCCATCTGCTCTAAATGACGGGCTCTCGAAAAACTCCTTGAAACTTTCCATGTCTCTCTCAACCCCAACATTAGGAAGATCAGGCATCATATGTGCAACCACCTACAAGCAAAAAGGACAACAGGAGTAAGAATAGGCTCACTGCTTTGCAGGAAACTGATGAAGAGAAACACTGAAGCTGGAAGCTGCCAATAGAATACTAACATGATAAAAACATTCATAAGAGACTAATCTATAAGGTGTATACCTTGAAACCAGCATCTTTAGCCAAGCAGAAGCAGTCGGCTACCGCAGCAACAGTATGGCCTCTATTTGTGTCACGGGCAACATCTTCATATGTGCTCTGGACACCGATCTCTAGCCGAGTGCAACCATAAATCAGCATCTGTCGTAGATGAGGTCCAAGGCAGTAATCTGGCCTCCTGTGGTATATTTGTAAAACAGGTTAGATAATGTATTCTCAGCAATCTTCAGAGGTTAGAAATTTCACTAACTCTTCCATATGAAGTGATCAATGAAAAGGAAACAACAATGAAACATGAAACCAATTCACAGAAGTTTTCAGGACTTTTTTGTATATACATTAACTCTCTCCATCAAGTTCCACAGATAATACAATGCAACCAATATAGAAACTAGGAAAGCTTTAAGAGAAAACAAAAGGAAAGCAAAAAGAAAGATACGCATAATTCTAAATGATTTTAGACTTAGATAAAGATCAACGCATCCACAAAAATTGACACTTGAACACAAAGAACTCACGTTTCAATGGTCATGCCAATGCATTTAGTCGCACTGTGTTCAGAATAAGCAACCGCTTCTTCAATGTTGGCGGAAGTGTGTCCTGATAACGCATCATGAAGGTTCCTTATGAAGTAATCCCGATACTCAGCTGGCAGCGACATAAAAGTACCTCCCATCAGAATAAACTCAACCTGTCATCCAAATCACGAGTAATCAATAACCATCTTAGCTAAAGACTGCTAAAAAGAATCTTGTAAGGTTACTAGAAAATGTTCAAACCCTAACCTTGTCTACACTGTGCCCCAACCGCTTCAGCTGATCGATCCTGCTCCTCGCCTGTACATATGGATTGTACCTATAACACAATAAACACAATCCATTCATACATAATCAGCACAAATAACGAAATGTATATATATAAGAATTCCATATCCTTTTGATTCCCTTCAGTTTTAGCATTTTGGATCTTTAGCAGCTGCGTTATCAAGAAACTCTACATTCTTGTTCACAATCAAGAACTCAATTCTCTCAATTCAATCAAGAGTTATTTTGTGAATCTACAAAATGCAATTGCAAAACGCAGTAGCAAACTCTCTTTACCTGGCTCGAATAGCTCGCATGCTCGTTGGTTCGTATCCAGTGTAAGACTGAGTGCTATACTCGAAGTCAGAGTCGGGTCCGCCGGGACAATACACGCATATATTCCCCGTGGTGGCTATGTGAGGACACCTGTGAGGCTTCGACATAACCGCCACGACGGCGATCCCTGAAGCTGTACGGACCGGTTTAGCGCGGAGCTTCGGGAGAAGAGTCTCTCTCTCTGAATCAGGAAGCGCCGCGATCATCTCCACAAGCTTTGGGGCACGCGCCAGGCCGTATTTCCGGCAAGCTGCGGTTTTGATTGCGTTTAGGTCAACATTCTCGTTGCGGTGGGAGCGCTCAATCATTGTGCTGACGATCTCCGATATGGCGCGAACTCGAGCTTCTTCCTCGGTTAAGCCACGGCCTTGGAAACCGCCGCGACCTGGCCGTGGTTGCTTTTTCGATTCGCCGCCGTTCATCACTACCGCCGTCGCCATCGCCGCGAACAACCTTGGAGGAGGAATGAAAATATCGCACGGGTTCAACAGAGATTTTGGTCTAGTAGCATCTTCAAAACGATGCCGTTTTAGTTGTTTTTTTTGTTAGTTAAAACTTAAAACATAAGTCAAAATAAAACATTAGCTCAGGCCATGAGGCCAGGATGTTAGTTTTTTTTGTGTCGGGTTCGGGTCGGTTTTTCGGGTTTTATATCTTTTGGTTCTACAAATTTTAAAATCAGTTAGATACTTTTTATTATCGGGTCAGGTTTGGTTTGGTTCGCCGGTTTCGGGTTGGTTCTTGACAATCAAACTTTAATTATAAAAAATAAAATAAATAAAAACTGTTTATTTAAATGAAATTTTGTTAAATTTAGCAGAAAATTATTCAATATTAACAAATATAACTAACGATTTTCGGATATCTTGAATATTATGATTAATAGGCTAAGCCCGCGCGATTAGATCTCCGATGAACTAACTTTCGCGTTGGAGATTATCTCCAGCGAGAGGATGTCTCCGAATTTTAGATTTGGTTAGCTTCTTTTGGAAATTAGTTTATTGAAACAATGACTTCATGTTCATCTAATTTACTTCACTTCAACAATAATAACTCATATCAAGAATCAGCATAACTGGAAACTTGATCAAAACGTATTGTTTCATGAGTTCGAGACTTCATAATCAATAGTTGGTTGGGTTAACTGATATTGATTTTTTTCCATGTGGTTCATTTTGTGGTTCCTATTCTCTATATATATTACAGGAATTGGAGAAACTCTCGTGGATGCTCGTCGATGGGTTTGGAGCGGACGTATTACTCACCGATGGCTGGTCGGAGAGGATTTGAGATGGCAGACATTGGAGTAATCGCTAAGGGATCTCGGCGGATATATGTGGATGGTGGCAGTGGTTGGAGCGCATGCATTGCGGCAACTTTTAGTCTTCGGTCGTTTCGTTTGAGTCGGTGCGTTATTTTTTTTTAATAGAGTATGCCACATGGCAATTTAAGAAACAAAAAGAAAAGCTGAGGTGTCAGAAATCTGGAGAGAGTTATCCTCTCATTATATATAAGATTTTATCATAAATATAACTATTATTAGGTTTATAATTGTAACTAGATTAGGTCCCCTATATACATGGGATTGATAAGATACTATTTTACAATCAGAAAAAAAAAAATTAAAATGTATAATACAAAAAATAACCTAAAAAATATGATGAGTCTTAAAATTAAATAAAATCATATTGAGAACGTCATTATGAAAACTCTTACAGAATAAAAAATCAATCATATTAATAATTCTTGATTTATTTTTATACTTTTTTTTTCATAAGTATGTTTTGGTTACTTAATCCTCAATACATTAATTTATTCTTTTCATTTTTTTTAATTAAACTAAGATTTTTTTTTTCATTTTTCTGTTAAAATACGAAACATTTTATCTTAAAATATGAACTATGCAAAAATATCTTATTATTTTCCCGTTAAAAATGAAATTTATTTTTTCCCCTTTTTAACACCTTTTTAGTTATTTTTTCATTCATTTTTCCCTTTTTCGTTAGAATATGAAACTTTTTCTCTTATTAAATGAGGCATGTAAAAAATATTTTTCCTTTTCCTGTTAAAATATTAAACCTTTTTCCATTATGATACCGAGAAATTATTTTCCTTTTCCATTAGAATATGGAAAAACTATTTTTTTCCTTTTTAACATAATTTTAATTAGTTATTTTTATTTTCTTTACTAATTAAGACACATGTCAAGATCTTAATAGTTGTAAGAATTTAATGTTAATCTATGTTATAACTAATAACTTCGATTTCGATCCAACTGATTTAGTGTCAAATAATCTCCACTCTTTTCTTGAACCGTCAAAGACATGATTTATAAATTAGAAATAGATAATCAAAGAGATTTGATGAATTTGCTTTGATGAGTTTGTGAATGAGAAAAAAAAATAGACTACCTTAATTTTCTTTTTATAGTGGTTCACGCAACCTATTCCATACAGTTATAGAAAATTTAGTTTGCGCATCCAGCTTTATATAACTAATATTTTTGGGTATATATTTATATATTTTGAATATTTTAAGTATTCATTCGATTCTTAGTTCAGTTTCGGATCCGATTCTTTCGAGTATAGGAATTTAAGACGCATTCGGGTATTTGTATCGGTTCCGTTCAGTTCATTTTCGTCAATTTAGAGTCGGACTCGGGTCAGTACTTTGGGTCCGCTTAAAAATGCCCAGACCTAGCTTTTACGAAGCCTATTACAAAATTGCATAAGCATAGCTAGTAAACTTCTAATCAAACTTTTTTTTTTCAAAAATAAAACCTGAAGCTTATCATCAATCACTTCGTCTATTGAGAACAAGCTTTCCCTCAAGCCTGATGTCCAATATATATTGTCGTCACAATTATGATAAAATATACAAACTACATACAAAGAATCTTGTTTAGTGTGCAAATGCCCACAAATTGGTTTTTATACTATTTGTTAAAAATTGAACGTAATGCAAAGAAGATATAAATCATAACGTAATAGGTGGTGATAGACTGATAGGTGAATGTACACAAAAAAACGCATAAATAATAATATCAATTCATTAAACTAACTAAACCACATTATCTATGAAAAGAAAACGAAAAAAAAAAAAGATTGAGTGGTGCAGAATTTTACGATTTTGTTATATGTGAACCAAACTTGGCACATAGTTGAAAATAAATGGCCACCGTACTTCGTTTCCATATTTTATCTCTTCATAACAGATTTCTGTGAAACACACATCGTCTTCTCCTACCATGTCCATACTCATCCGACGACCGTCACTACAACACAAGACCACCTTCTTCTCTTGGTAAATTACAGCAGTCGCTACAACCGACCACATATTACGCTTACTCTTCAGTAAATCCACAGTAAAGTATTTGCTCCACGCCAATGCAGCTTGAGTATCATCAAATTTCTTGGTCACCCAAATATCCAGTTGTTGTGTTATAAAGCACAGATTCAAGACTAGGAGGTTTTCGTCTCTAACAACCGATAGACCCGTCGTGATACGATTATCATTCTGAAATGCTGGAAGAGACCAACGTTTAAATTTCTCCGTTGTAAAATCAAAACTGAGTACATCATCTTTTTTTCCTCCGCCCGTCGCAATCCAGAATGTATTTCCCTTCAGAGAGACGCCTTTTAAAAATATGACGAAGTACTCGAGAGCGGTTTGATCAAGACGTCTCCACGTATCAGAGGTAAACTCATAGATTTCAAACCTAACTTTTTGGCTGTATCCGTGATGATCCCAACACCTCAAGATTTTGTAGCTACGGCAAGATTTGTTGTTTTGGTATCCTAGAGAAAACGTGGAGTAACTTGTGTAACCAGTTTTGGATTGGATCCACCTGGTCTCTCCCAAACAAGGATTCCAAACAACGAGTTTCTTGTCCTTTGTTGTGCATAACAACAAACCGTCACAATGAAACACATGGGCTATATCCACTTGTTCTGAATTAGAATCTTTTAGGTCAAGTGTACCCATAAACCCTTTTTTATTTCTTTTTGGGTAAAAGAGTGCACCCATAAACTGATCAACTACGTTTTGATTGAGATTGACGTTACAAACCCTAAGTTCCTTGAACATGAGAACGTGAACCTGCTTTGGAGCTTCACGTAAGTGCTTCTGGATGAATCTTTGGTCTTTGAATAAATTGTTCCATCGCTTGCATGTATACCTAAATCTTTCAGAGATGTGGCTGGAACTTTACAGAGTATTTCCTCGACCAAATCCGGCGGAAGATCAGAAATCGTGGTTGTTTCTCTCTTGTAACCACAACAAGGACCAAAAAAACGAGTTAGGCTAGAAATTAGGGTTTTCATATTTTTTTTAGTTTCGATGTTTCCCCATGAATTGAATCAATCTTGTATTTGTATTAATTAGGAAAAAAAAAAGACAACTAGAGCATATAGACAACTAAATGCCCAACCGACTTTAGCCCTAACCTCCTCAACAAAATAACAAGACTTGAAGAGAAAGGCACAATCAATGAGAAAATGTAAACAAAGTCTCATGCCGACTCGAAGAATGGAAGGAAATCGAGAACAAGAGGAAGTTTTCCATATCGTTAAAAGGAAAATATTCATCAAGGAGCCGACCTATCAACCCTATATAATGAAGACCCCTCATTCGTGGAAAGGCATCCGAAATCATCCGCACTTCAGCTAAAGAACAATTTCTTTGTTCTTTCTTGTTCACTATTATTCGTCTCGTCAAGCCTGTTGACGAGATCAATTCCTGTTGTAATCTTTTTGATTGTCTTCGAGTTAATAAAGCATCACAGTTCCCTAAACTTAATCTTTGGTATCCCATCTTGACGTGTGCTATATCAGATCTCACGTGAATCTCCAATATTGGAGTGATAAAGAAATATGATCACACTTATTGACTTACCGCATTGATTATTCAATTACTGTAGTTAGATTTGTCAATTACTCACATATTTTTTTTTTACTCAAATAATATTCATTTTGATGAATTATAGAATACAATGTCACTTTGTACATAAGTTGTGCATTGTAGTACATATATAACTATATAATATTACATTCATATTCTATAAACACAATAATGAAAAGCATGAATCATATATATGAAAAGAGGCCAACTCTCTCTATATTGTTGACACATGGACACTGAAAATGACACATATTATATAATTTTCACTTTAAAAAACAAAAATCCAAAAATTGAATATAACATTAATGCAACTTTTGGTCTTCTTTTGTGCTTATTGTAACATACAAAATATATTTTCATATAATTTTCACTTTTAAAAAAACATATCCAAAAGTTTAATGGAATTTCAATGCAACTTTTGGTTTTCTTTTATGCCCATTGTAACATATAATTTTTTTTTAAAAAACTATTATATCACTTTAAAATTATTATCCTTCGTCATTAATCTTGAATCACTATTAAACATTTAAGTTCTCGAGAATTGGATTCAAAAAGCGATGGCAAAGAAGCAGAGTGTGTTCGACGTAGCGGTGAATAAATAAAGAGTGTCAAGGGTTTAAAAATATGTGGTATTATACAAAACTATATATTTGAAAGTCTAATGGCGCAAATAAAAATTACAATACAAGTGTTATTTGGGTTACAAGATTAATCACAAATCTATAATTGTTTTATACTCCAAACAAATAAGAATTAAAATACGGGTGTTAGATTATTTGGAGTAACATTTTTCTTAAACTATAACAATAAAAAAATCTGTGCGTATGCGGGCATTAGTCTAGTAACACTTGAACAGCGATATACTTCTTACAGAGTCTTTCTATTCCCCAACAGAAAAACCTCATTATCCATTCAATACTATGAGGCTCAAACTGGTTATCAATTTTTGGAATAGTATGAATAAGATGAATATATAAAAATGGGATACAAAGAAATTGGATGATGGTAGTTATGAGTATCAAATGAACGGAATGAATATGTTCATAAAAGTATTTACATAGCATGAATGGTAATTGTTTAAAGGAATACGATGGAATCAAAATAAATTTAGTTTAAATTAATTAGTTTAGTTGTATTCCTTTTCATTCCTTTTATTCATGATGATTTTTGGTTTGGAATGGTTTTTAACGTGATTCACTTTTTTTCCCACACATCCCACTAGAATTAATGGAATAAACTTTAACTTTTATTCAGATCAAATAGTAACATTCTTGTGGAATCTCTATGGAATGAGTCATTCCACATAATTTCATCTCTATGGAATGAGATGAATTGAGAAAAATGGGATTCCAGTAAATGGGATAATGGCAGTTACACAAATAAATGAATGGGATAAAAAAATGTAGAGAAATATAAATGTAACCATGAATGGTGATAATTTAAAGGAATTGAGTTGAATGAAAATAAGGGGGAATTGCCAAATATAGTGCACAATTTGATTTGAAATGCAAAACTAGACCCTATATTGCATTTAGAGCAAAACTAGTCTTCTGGGCATGTAAAATTACAAACCACACCCTTATGAACAAAGAAAAAAACGCTAGCACAATGTCTGTTTTACCCTGTTTAAAGTCTATTCATGAAGTCTACTGCGTATTAGACTTCATGATGAAGTCTAATTCCTAATACAACTCAAATTTAATTTATAAAATTATAGAAATTGATTTGATCAAACAAAATTATACATAAATAAGATTAGAACATTTGGCATCCAAGAAAAATAAAATTGCATAAAAATGAATCCATTTAACTCAAGTAAGAGAAATTATGTTTGTAACCTATAAACTGTGAAGTCTACTCGAAGTCTACTATATAGCAAAATCGTAAATTTAAAGTTTAAAATCTATTAAAAATATTTTGATCAAGGTATTTACACATAATTTTAACAAAGACAAGTACTATCCATGAAAAATAAATTTGCATATAAATTGATCAATTTAAATCGGTAATACAAATTATGGTATAATCCAAAAAAAATATTGTGAAGTCTACTAGTCTATAACAAAATCTTAAATTTAAAGTTTAAAATCTATAAAAAAAATTTAGGCTTAAAATTATAAATAATCTAAATAAAGACAAATCCTATCTATGTAAAATAAAATTTCATGGAAATTAATCAATTTATAAGTTTCATGAGTAAACCAATCATCAAGCTTAGTGTTTGAGGTATAATGTATAGGGTTTATGAGTTCATTGTTAGGGTTTAGAGAATTTTGACATAAAAAAATGTTTGCGGTTTGTTTAACGATTTAAAGCTAATGAATTATAGTTTATAATGTAAATTGTGATTATGTATACATAATTGATGTTTTCTATAGCTTTGATCTCAAAAATTCGATTTAGGGTTTAGGGTAAGTCAGACTTCATCGATAGACTTCATTGTTAGACTTTGACATAAAGTATTTACTAAAAAAAGAGAGCGGGAAATGAAATATTTTGGGCGGGAACCGGAATTTATGCGAAGAAAAAACGAGAGCCATAATGTCTGTTTTACTCTCTTTAAAGTCTACGCATGAAGTCTACTCTGTAATTGACTTCATGATGAATCTACTTCATAATCACAAATTAAATTTAAATTATAAAATTATTGGAAATTAATTTGATAAAAAAAATTATATATAAATAAGATTAAAACATTTGGCATCCAAGAAAAATAAATTTGCGTAAACATTTGGCAACTAAGAGAAATTATATGTTTGTAACCTCTAAACTGTGTGGAGTCTATTTGAGAAGTCTACACTATCGTAAAATCTTCAATTTAAAGTGTAAAATTTATAAAAACTATTTGGATAAAGAAATTTACACATAATTTTAACAAAGACAAGTACTATCCATGAAAAATAAATTTTCATATAAATTGATCAATTTGAATCAAGGAAGACAAATAATGGTATAACCCAAAATATAATTGTGTGAAGTCTACTAAAGAAGTCTGCTAAATAACAAATCTTAAATTTAAAGTTTAAAAGCTATAAAAAACAATTTTGATAAAAAAAATTATACATAATTTAAATAAAGACAAGCCCTATCTATGTAACTGAAATTTTATGAAAATGAATTAATTTATAAGTTTTATGAGTAAACCAATCATCAAACTTAGTGTTTGAGGTTTAATTTATAGGTTTGTGATTGTCATTATTAAGGTTTAGAGAATTTTGTCATAAAAAAGTGTGCGATTCGTTTGACGATTTAGAACTCATGAATTTGTAATTTGTAATGTAAATTGTGATTATATATGTACATAATTAATGTTTACTATAAGTTTTGATCTTAAATATATTCGATTTAGGGTTTAGGGTTAGTGAAACTTCATCGGTAGACTTCATTGGTAGACTTCGCGATGAAGTTTGTAATTCAAAACAAAACAAGCGGGAAATGAAACATTTTGGGAAAATAGGCGGGAACCGAAATATATCCGAACAAAGTTCTCGTATAATATAATCGGTTTGGTAGACTTCATTAGTAGACTTCTTATGTAAACTTTACAATAAAATTTACTTAACCGAATTTAACCGAATTTTTTTTCACAAAACCGGAAAATTAACCCTGTTATGTAATGAATTAACCCTAATTTTGTGGAAAAGAATTTGTAACTCGTGACGGCGTCTCTCTCTCTCTCTCACTCTCCGTGAACCTTCGCCGATTCTTCTCGCCTCTCTAACCTTCGGCGACGCTTCTCTCTTCTTCTCCAACATTTCCTTCCGGAGACTATGAAGCCACTCGCCGTTAACCTTTGCCGCCTCTCCGTCGCCAATAACCACCGCCTCCTCTCCGTCGCCAATAACCACCGCCTCCTCTTCCTTCTCCGCCTCTCTCTCTCTCCCGCATCTCTCCTCTCACCGTTGGATCTCTCTCCCTGATAGGTGAATCTCTCTCGCTTCATCTTTTCACCGCCATTATCTCGCTTCTCTCTCTCACTTTGATCCATGTTTTCAATTTTCCTGCTGAGAATGTGTTCTTATCTCTATTGAATGTGGGTTTTTTCACTTTTGTTTCCATCTACCTGATGAGGTATATTTTTGCCACATTCAGGTTATATGTAAGATTTCTAGGGATTTGGAAGATCGGATTCTGGAAACCGCGGAGGACATTGGTGGTCCCGTCGATAAAGCAAAGGCTAGGGCTTTGAGGAAACAGAGAGAGTTAGAGAAGTCGAAGAAAGCTTTAGAGAGGTATAGATCCGATGCTAATTACAGCTCCCTATGAAATCAGAAATCATGTCTCTTTAATTTTAGCTCTTTTAGAGATTAATTTTTTGTATTTTTATCTCTGGTGTTTGATTGATTAACAGAGAGTGGAGATTAAATGAAGATAGTTCATAAATCGCTGGAACCAATGCTGCATCAACCGTGAGATTGGGACCAAGGTTGCTGCTGCTCAACGTCTCAAGTAAGCTATGTTGAACCTCATACATGATACACCTTAACCGTGAGATCGGGACATAGTTTAATGCTTTAAAGAATGTTCAAATGAAAAGATTTAGTTGGGTTTAAATTGCAATGCAGGTTCATCTACCATTCTATGGCGTTTGGAAATTTGGACTGCCTTGTTACTATCATCTGTTTAATAGCAGCTGAAGCTATTAGTGGCTGCTGCTTGAGTTTCACATCCTTTTTATAGGTTCGTACCCTTACTAATTTAGGATTTCGTGTAATGTTCGCATGTTGCATAGGATTACCTTAATCTTACTTTGTTTTTAAGTTTTTAATGTTGGCGTGTTGCACATTAAGATATTGGATAACTGAATTTGTTTAACTCTGCTTTCTGGAACCTCTTTTTGTTGTTTTTCCTAGGATTGACATTGAATTTTTGTTTTAAATTGTAGCTAGTGTACAAACCACTTCAAAGCAAAACAGATGAGGATGAAAAGAAGACAAAGCTTTGAATATACATTTATCTCGTTTATGAATCTACTGGGTTTATGTTTCAGCTGAGATAGTATCATATTGTTGAGTTTTCGTTTCTAGTAGATATTTGGGTTTGTGAGTTAACTTGACACTGATAGTTTCTAGTTGATGCTTTTGCAATTTAGTGTCTTCACACTGTTTTTAATTTTTTTTATGAAGGATACCTTTCTATAACAGACATGAAACCTCTTTATTTTCTCTCTGCAGTCAATTAGCTAGCATTTCTTATTGTTAGAGGTTTGTGTTTTTGGCTTTTCATTAGGAGCATTTTCTCTCTGATGTCTTGCAGCTTTAGAAGAGAACTGAAGAGCTCATGGTTGGCTTCTCCCTTGACTTCTCGTTCACTAGATTAATTTTCATGTAAGTTTTATGGTGGTCTTCTCTACTCTTTTTGTAATATAGATTCTTTCAGTTTTGAAGTCTTGTATGTATTGTAGTTGTTGAATATAATGATTATCAGTTGTTTGTGCTAATCTGTTGTACATTCACATGTTTTCCTCCTTTTCAGGTGCATTGAAGAGTAGATAACATTGCTGTTGGGAAGCTTTCACTAAACCTCACACACCCTAACAGAGAATGGACTTCTGGATCATTATTAACCCACTTTGTGGATTTTTTTTTTGGCTGGTTTAGGAAGCAGGAATCGATGTCAAAACCTCCAGGAGTTGGACGTGGAAGAGGAGTTGGTATGGATGATGGAGGAGCTAGAGGCCGAGGCAGAGGATCTTCAATGACACGAAGATGAGTGGTAGACTCGAGTGATATGATAGACTTAGTCGTCTCTGTTTTGTCAAATTATTTGGGTTTCTGCTGTATGCGTCTTTTGACAAGTTATGTTACTGTCATTGCTTGTTGCAAAGTCTAAGCCAGCTCATTTATATTTATATGTTATTAGACTTGAAATCAACAGCTACATCTATTTTTAATAAAGAAAAATATTCCCCTTGAACCATCAATGCAAAGTTTTTCAAGCTCTTATGTCATATGTTATGATCTGTCTTGTGTTGTTACAATGGGGATACTCTGATAGTTCGCATCCAGTTTGTGCACATTGTACGTTTATATATTGTACGTTTATATAAAGAGACAAGCTCTATTAGTAGACTTCATTAGTAAGACTTTATAGATTTGTGATAAAAAGTCAAATTCAACCATTTTTGATGCATTTGATCTACCTAAAACGGACCAAGTACAATCATCACAGCTAGATTTCTGGATGAAGTCTTCTAGTAATGGATATGATAATTTCACACGGTGTTCGATCTTATCAGGAATAATCATCTAAAGCCATTTGAATAAGCTCATCATGTGTACAACCATCCCTCAACGAGAACATTCTACCTCCTTTCCGATAATCAACCTCAAAATGCCAAGACAAATTGTCCTTTCTCACCCATTCTCCATAAACAGATGCAATGTAAACCATTTTCTGCAAGTAAACAAAAACAACCGCATTAGACTTCATTGATAGACTTTAGTGGTAGACTTCACCTAGAAGTCTACCTAGTATTGTCTAATATTCAATTTTGACAAGAAAACCGTTTTCACGAAATATACAACGAATAAGCATGTCAAACTAACACACAAGCAACTAAACAGACTAACTCAACTAATTGTTCAAGAAATCTTAAAAATTCGTTATATATTTTCCAAAAAAGCGTTTTCAAATAAAACATTAAATAGTAGACTTCACGAGGAAGTCTATTGGTAGACTTCCTTGTGAAGTCTAATAGACTAGTTTTGCAATTTTTCAAATTACAATTTTTTATGAAGTCTACACGTGAAGTCTACCGAAAAAAAAAGACTAGTTTTGCAATTGACCAAGCTTTGACTTTTCAAATAGACTTCATTATCGTGAATAGGCTTAAAAATGAAGTCTAACTAGAATGAAGTCTATGGTGAAGTCTACAACAGGAATTAGACTTCATAGGGATTAGTTTTGCAATTGATCGAATTTTTGAATTTAGGAAAATAGACTTCATCGTGAAGTCTACTCCGATAAACGTTGACTATTAGACTTCTTGGTGAAGTCTATCAAGAATTAGGCTTCGAAATGAAGTCTAACCCTTTATTAGACTTTGAATGAAGTCTATTAGATTTAAGTCTAATACAACATTAATAGACTTTCAGGGGTAGACTTCACGATAAAACAAACTACTTAAAGTTTGCAAAACTAGTCTTTTATTCAAGCAGACTTCACAGATAGACTTTCATAAAAAGTTTTTATTCTGTCAATTGCAAAACTAATCTTTTCGAGTAGACTTCATTCTGAAGCCTACGCCATATTTTTTTGTTTTCAAAGGAATATGGGTAGACTTCATTGTGAAGTCTACTCTCTAAATTTTTTGAAAATCAATTGCAAAACTAGTTTGTTAGACTTCGCTATGAAGTCTAAGGACCTGCAAAAATATGAAATTCACTCAGATCTACCGGAATTTTACCTTGCCGTGATCTTAAGTTTCGTTGACGGCCTATAACTTCGATTTAGAGCTTCAGCAAACTTCCCCAACCGTTATAATGATCTCCCACACCAAAAATGGGAAGATCTAAGAACATAAACTTTGAAAAGATGAAAATGTGTGTTCTTGGGGTGAAAATGAGAAGAAATTGAAGAATACAAGTTTATGAGATGATATAATGAGTTTGTATATATGTTTGAAGAGTAAATCATGCATTCAAAGCTTGATTTCGGTTGAGAATGGTTGTTGGACGAATTGATGGTGATGGCATTTTCGTGAATAAATGAAGAAGATGAGGTTTCTTTGGACTTTTTTTTTCGTATTAGACTTCACGGTTAGACTTCAAGGACGAAAGTAATGGCATTTTCGTTATTATCACAAATATGGTGAGGATAAACAAGGAAGAAAAAAAGAGTGAACTACTTTTGCATTTGACCTCAATTTTTGTACTACTTTTGAAAACAGCCCTTTTTAGTACATTTGCTTTTATTCATAAACCTTTTTTTATCATGAATGAATTTTAACTATATCCCTTATTATTCCTTCTTATTCTTTCTTATCCCACAAGAATTGCAGAGATAATTTTCATTTTTAATTCCACTTAAATGGTAGTTTTTTTTTTGTGGGATCTACATGAATGAGCCATTCCACAAAGTTTTATCCCACAAAACAGACATCCAGTTGCACCCCAAATCTTCACTTTACTGATATTCTAATTAGCGCCATGCCATCCTCTTTACTAAGCTCGCAAGCTTGAAGCTAACCATCACTTACGCAGTTACGCTATTCAGAACAAGCTTTGCCATCAAACTTGATGTCCAAATTATTTATCGTGACAGTTATGATAAAATGTATAAACTACAATGAATCTTGTTTCGTGTAAGCGTGAATGTCTACAAATTGGTTACTATTTTTTGTTAAAACTTGAAACGAATTGCAAAGAAGATATAAATCATAAAGTAAAGTAGTAGGTGACTCTGTACCCAAAAATAAACTGAAAATAATTTATCAGTTTCATTTAATAAATTAATCAAACCACATTGTCTATGAAAACAAAACGAAAAGAACAAGAATAAGGAGTTGTGCATAAATTTACGATTCTGTTATGTTGCTATCTTGCTAGATGTGAACCAAACTTGGCGCATAATTGAAAATAAATGGCCACAGTACTTTGTTTCTAGATTTTATCTCTTGATCATAATAGATTTCTTTGCAATACACATCGTCTTCTCCAGTAATGTATACGTCCATGCTCATCCGACGAAGACCGTCACTACAACACAAGACCATATTCTTCTCTTCGTAAATTACAACACTCGCAATAGTCGGACACAAATTACGACTGCGATTAATCTTCAGTAAATCCACAGTAAAGTATTTGCTCCACGACAATGCTGCTTGATTATCATCAAATTTCTTGGTCACCCAAATCTCAATCTCTTTTGAATTATAGCACTGATATAACACTAAGAGGTTTTCTTCTCTAACAACTGATAGATCCATGACATAACCAGCATTCTGAAATGCTGGAAGAGACCAACGTTTAAATCTCTCTGTTGTAAAATCAAAACTGAGTACATAGCTATTTTCTTCTTTTCGTTCCATAGCAATCCAGAATGTATTTCCCTTCAAAGACACGCCTCTTAACCATATGCAGAAGAAGTCGAGAGCGGTTTCATCAACACATCTCCATGAATTAGAGCTAAACTCATAGATTTCAAACCTACCTTTTCGGTTGTATTCGTAACGATCCCAACACCTTAAGATTTTGTAGATACGGAAAGATTTGTTGTTTTGGTATCCTAGAGAAAACGTAGAGTCAGTGTAATATTGGTAATTAGGTTTTGGTTGGATCCACCTGGTCTCTCCCAAACAAGGATTCCAAACAACGAGTTTCTTGTCCTTCGTGGTGCATAACAACAAACCGTCACAATGAAACACTTGGGCTATATCCACTTGTTCTGAATTAGAATGAGAAACTTTTAGGTCAAGTGCACCCATAAACTGAGCAACTACGTTTTGGCTGAGATTGACGTTACAAACCCTAGGATCCTTGAACATGAGAACATGATCCTGCTTTGGCGCTTCACGTAAGTGCTTCTGGATGAATCTTTGGTCTTTGAATAAATTGTTCCATCCCTTGCAAGTATACCTTAATCGTTTCAGAGATGTGGCTGGAACTTTATAGAGTATTTCCTCGACCAAATCCGGCGGAAGATCAGAAATCGTCGTTGTTTCTCTTTTGTAACCACCACAATGACAACAACAAAAACTAGTTAGGCTAGAAATTAGGGTTTATTTTTTCCTAATTTAGATGTTTCCCCCATGAATTGAACCAATCTTGTATTATTATATTTATATAGACAAAGATAAAAAAAAGATATCCGCTCCAGATATAAGTTTTTCCTTTTCCTATGTGGATTATATACTAATTTTACTTAAAGTTTTTTGTTCTTTCTAATTAATTACACATTTCCATTTTGCTTATAAGTCAGATACATAGTGCAGATGCCTCATTTTTTGTGTGCATGCTGTGGAGATCTACGAGCATAAATCCAATTGCTATCTTTCTCAATGCTAATTTCATATAACTGGTGGTCTTCTTCATATTTAAATGCATTCTCCCAGGAATATAAAGCTGGCAGATTTCATCGTCATGGCCAAGATCATTGACATCACAAGATATATCTACCCCAAGTTTCCTTTTCTTCAAAGTTGTTCTAGATTAGACCTCCATGAACCGCCGGTTCTTGTTCGCCATGCATAGTCCATGTTCCTTTTGCCATGATTAGTAACCTCTTGTGCTTCTAAAGTCTAACTAGTGTGTTCAATGCTACAATGATTCAACCTGATGATTGCGAGTATTTGAGCCTAGAGACTTTCCAGGGTAAAGGACTTATCAGTCACAATCTTAGACATGAAAATTTGCCTATTACTAACAGTCACAAAATTCCATCACATGATCCTCTACAAAACAGTATGCAATATAAGTGTTAGAATATTGATTTCTAAACAGAGTGAGAAAGAAAGAGATAAACTATCTCTTCGTTTTTGAAGAATACAAGAACAACGAAATACACTTTTATTGATCTGAAACTTGTTGAGTTACATCATTTGTCTCCTCATGCCTACCAAACAAAAAGAAGTAGATCGTTGTTCAAATGTGTTATTTATGCTTTTGATTGTTAAGAACACAAATGTCTCCTACAATTTATTAAGAACTACAAAGCAATCATGTTCGTACAAGCCGTGCTCTTGAAGAGCCATTTGCATCCTCTAACATCAGCACTGATATTTCAGCGGGAGGAGAGGAAAAAGAAGAAAAACCTAAAGGCATTGAAAAGGCATGGTTCACAAGACCGTCCGCCACGCGATTCGCCTCTCGAAAGACATGAGTAGTACTAGGAATGACAAGGGATGAGAATCATTAATCCCTGTATGAAAGAACCCCACAACTATCTCTGAGTCCACCTCCAATACTAGCCTTGGAACACGCCTCTCCCATGCCATATAGAGGCCATAGTAGACTCCCCAGAGCTCTGGCAGCATATCCCTATATTGAGAGCAAAACCGCAGATCCAATTACCCTCCTCGTCCCGTAGGACACCACAACGATCTACTTCTTATAGAGTCTTTCTATTCCCCAACGGCAAAAAACCTCATTCTCCATTCAAATCTTCAAATTACTGATATCTTAATTAGCGCCATGTAATCCTCTTTACTAAACTCGCAAGCTTGAAGCTTATCATCACTTCCTCTATTGAGAACAAGAACAAGCTTGCCCTCAAGCTTGATGTCCAATCCAAACTATATATCTCGTCACAGTTATGACAAACTACAAAGAATCTTGTTTGGTGTGCCAATGCCCACAAATTGGTTTTTATATATTTGTTAAAACTTGAAACGCAATGTAAAGAAGATATAAATCATAACGTATTAGGTGAATGTACACATAAATAATAATATCAACTCATTAAACGAAACCATATTGTCTATGAAAACAAAGCGAAGAAGAAAAAAGAACGTAGTTGTGCAGAAATTTACTATTCTGTTATTTTGCCTCTATCTTGCTGGATGTGAACCAAACTTGGCACATAATTGAAAATAAATGGCCACCATACTTTGTTAATTGTAGATTCTTCATAAAATATTTCAGTGAAATATCCAACGTCTTCTCCAGTAATGTATACCATGTTTATTCTCCTCCAATGACCGTGACTACGACACAACACAACCTTCTTCTCTTCGTAGATTACAGCAGTCGCCATAAGCGAAAACAAATTACGATTAATCTTAAGTAAATCCACAGTAACGTATTTTGTCCACGACAATGCTGCTTGAGTATCATCAAATTTCTTGGTCACCAAAATCTCCATTTGGTTTAAATTAAGGCACCGATGTGACACTAAGAGGTTTTCTTCTCTGACAACTGATAGATCCATGACACAACCATCATTCGTCTGAAATGCTGGAAGAGACAAACGTTTAAATCTCTCTGTTGTAAAATCAAAACTGAGTAGATAATTATTTTCTTCTTCTCCCTCCAGATCAATAATCCAGAATGTATTTCCCTTCAAAGACACGCCTTTTACTAATATGAAGATGTACTCGGAAGCGGTTTCATGAAGACGTCTCCACGAATCAGAGCTAAACTCATAGATTTCAAACCTATCTCTTTGGTTGCATTCATCTTCATCATTCCAAGATTCCCAACACCTCAAGATTTTGTAGCTACGGCAAGATTTGTTGTTTTGGTATCCGAGAAAAAACGTAGGGTGACGTGGGTACTGGCAACCAGGTTTGGGTTGGATCCACCTGGTCTCTCCCAAACAAGGATTCCAAACAACGAGTTTATTGTCCTTTGTTGTGCATAACAACAAGCCGTCACAATGAAACACTTGGGCTATATCGACTTGTTCTGAATTAGAATTAGAATCTTTTAGGTCAAGTGCACCCATAACCTTTTTTACTTTTTTTTTGGGGTAAAAGAGTGCACCCATAAACTGATCAACTACGTTTTGTATCTTTTGGTTGAGATTGACAACACAAACCCTAGGTTCCTTGAACATTAGATCGTGAACCTGCTTTGAAGCTTCACGTAAGTGCTTCTCAATGAATCTTTGGTCTTTGAATAAATTGTTCCATCGCTTGCAAGTATACCTTAGTCGTTTCAGAGATGTGGCTGGAACTTTAGAGAGTATTTCCTCGACCAAATCCGGCGGAAGATCAGAAATCGTCGTTGTTTCTCTTTTGTAACCACAATGACAAAAAAAACGAGTTAGGCTAGAAATTAGGGTTTTCATTTTCTTAATTTGGATGTTTTCCCGTGAATTGAACTAATGTTGTACTATTATATATAGACAAAGATAAAAAAAACGACATCCGCTCCAAATACAATTTTTCCTTTTCTTATGTGGATTATATACTAAATTTAATTAAAATTTTTAATTCTTTCCAAATTACTCTTTTCCATTTTTTAGTGAAGTTAATGCTATTATTTGCCATTATTTGAGCCTAAGCTAAGAGACTTTGCAGGGTAAAGGACTTATCAATCGCAATCTTAGACATGAAAGTTCTTATTACTTAAGTCACGAAATTCCATCACATGATCCAATCCAATATAAGTACTTTAGTGGTATCAAATGGTTTCACATTTTAGGGCCCCTCTAGGACAATCTCACAGTAAGCCTTCAATAAAATTGTAGAGCTAGCAAACTTTTAATCGAACCATGAAAAGAAAAAATTGCCATGGGATTGGTTATGTTATCCAAATATACAAAACACTTTGACGCTTATTAGGATAAATACAAAGTGTTAAGAATAAGGATATAGTTTATATTATACTAGAGTTAAATATGTATGAACTCCTGGTTTGTAGGAGATTCAAGTCTATCTTAAGCAATCACTAATGTGTATAAATACTCTTGTATTGTGAATCAATAAATCAAGTCACTTAAACGTACCTTATTCTACATGGTATCAGAGCAATAAGATTCTTAGGATCAAATTAAAGCTTCCGCTTGTAAATTTTGTGATCATAAAGAGATCAACGAAACAATGACCATCGAAGAAGATGGTGGTGATGAAGACGATCCAGATGATGATGTGAAGAAACTTCCCTCACGTGCTTTTGTCTTTACTTATTAATATTACTAAGTTTTCTTTTCTTTGGTTTTTGGTACGTTCTTTAGTTTTAGTTAAAGGGGTTTTCAATAAGCTTTTATAGTTTTGTTTTCTGGTTCGATTACAAGAGTTGTCAAGAGTTTTTGTGGAGTTCTTATTGTTTTTGATCGTGCCTGGTGATGGCCATGATGATGTCTCTCCGACTGGTGTGTCCGGTGGTAATGTGTTGGGTACCAGTGGTGCTCGAACGAATGAAGTCGCAACGGTGTTGCCTTATAATACATGTTGTGTTAGATAGTGGTTTTCTTGGTGACTGGTGCGTCGGATGGTGGTCTCCTCCGATGAGTGGTGTATCCGGTGGTGGTGTTCCCCCGGCAAGTAGAGCAACCGGTGGTGATGTTCTTCCGACAAGTGGTGTGTCGGGTGTTGGTGTAACGGGTGCTAGTGGTGCTCGGTTTAGTAAGTTACGGTGGAGTCGCCGTTGTACTCCTTGGATAATCTAGGAGCTACGATTACTCTGGTCTTGTTGAACAGAGAGAGGTTATTCAAGCTAAGTTTATGGGAGAGTTTAAAGCTGCATTTGTCCGAGAGAAATAAAGTTCAAGTACATCATATCAAGGTGCAGCTTGTGTGGTGTAGGCAAGATAGTCAATCCGTATTGGAGTATTATGGACGTGTTCCATTCCAAAAGTTAGTGTCCAAGTTGGGAGTTCTTGATCTCCCCTCTCCAACTTGAGGGGGAGTATTAGGATAAATACAAAGTGTTAAGAATAAGGATATAGTTTATATTATACTAGAGTTAAATATGTATGAACTCCTGGTTTGTAGGAGATTCAAGTCTATCTTAAGCAATCACTAATGTGTATAAATACTCTTGTATTGTGAATCAATAAATCAAGTCACTTAAACATACCTTATTCTACAACGCTCAAATCTTGAACTTGATAAAAACATATAATGGGTTCCCATTTCCCAAGCCGACTTGACTCATGAGTTTGTGTCTGTAAAATTATACTTTCACTCAATCCTACCGATCAAGTAGCTCAATTTTTGAAGTTCTATTTGTAATTGTAGAAAACCTAACAACCAATAACTCAAGCAATACCAAAGAAACGAACACAAAATAGCAAATCTTTAAAGTTCTAGATTTTTATAAGTTAATTTTGGTTTAAAAACAAAACAAAAAAACCACTCATGGCTCTTTTGCCATCTCAAAGTCATGGATGTGTGTTCCTTCTTTTTTTTTTCCCCATCTGAAATTATATTGAATTGCAAGAGAATACAGACGTTACACGCCAACCAGTCAAACCTAAACACACCCAAAAAACCAAGATCTAGGACACACCTAGATCCTCTCTAACAGCTCAAACAAAGAGAGAGTAGAGGAAGGTTACAAAAGATTCAAGAACAAAAGAAAAACCAGGCTTAAAAACAGAGGGTCAGACTCTCTCATTAGCAAAAATATAATCCAACCAGGAGGGATTACCCGTCGCGACGTATGAGTGACGACGATCACCTAGGATCACACTTTGTGCTACAAGAAAAGCCCCTCTGTTAGCACATCTCGGTTCCAGCTCAACTTTTAGACCGTCAAAACAAGACATGACGGAAGAGAAGTCCAAAGCTTGCTTCTTGAAAGAAGGCCAAGCTTTTGGTCTCTCCAAAACACCACTAACCACTGAGTCTTCCGAGGCCACAACCACCTTTAAAACACCATGACTCCTCAAACTTTCCAAAGCCCATAACACTCCTAAGAAGTTACACTCTAACTTGCTGATAACATTAGAGAAAGCTCTTCTACTGTGCAAATGAACAACCCCAGCTCCATCTCTAATCACCCAAGCCATTCCACCTCTACACGAGTTTTTCTCCCAAAAACAACCAACATTACATTTTAACCAAGGGTCCGGAGGAGGTCTCCAACGTTTTACCTCTCTGTGAGAAACAGTTGGTGAAAGCACCTCACAGTCTTTATCAACCTTCTGTGCCACTAACCAAAGCTCTGCTTCTTCGATGATCTTTTCCGTCGTTGCTAGAGCATTGAACTGACGGCTTTGGAATGCAAGATCATTTCTATTTTTCCTAAGGAACCATATCACCCACAGAAATCTTCTTCTTACTGCTTGTGGCAGATTGACATTCTTTCTCTGTTCCAAAAGATAATTGATATTTTGAAAAACAAGACTCTGAAAAACCTGTCTTTGGCACTGGTAACACACTAAGAGCCCACACTTGTCTCGAGAAGGAGCAAGTGAAGAAGAGATGATTAATGGATTCTCCATCTAAACCACAAGTTTGACAGACATTTTGGGTTTTCATACCTCTTTCTTCCATCTTGTCTCCAACCGCAACTCCTCCACAAAGACCTTCCATAAGAAAATTCTAATTTTCTGCGTGGTTGGAAGGTTCCACACTTCAGACTTTAGAGAATTGAGCGCTGCTTCTCTTTGTATTTCCACTTTCTTGATCTTAGAAGCGAGCCAAAAACCTGACTTGACAGAGTACTCTCCACTTTGGTTATGCATCCATACCCAGAAGTCTTCACATTGTGATACTGGTTGGAACTCTAAAACCCTCTGTACATCTTCCTGGAAGAACATTTCCTTAAGCTTTGCCACATCCCATTGTTTTTATGAAGGGTCAATGAGATCCTTAGCCAGGAGGTTGACGTCAAAAGGATTAATCAATCTCCAAGGAGCTCTCAAACCTTCATCTACTTTTCAAGGATCCGTCCATACACTTAAAGAATTCCCATTTCCCACTCTTTTTCTAAGCCCCTGCACTAGAAGATCTCGTCCCCACAAGATGCTTCTCCACGCAAAGGACGGTCTCCTTCCGATAACTGAATCCAAAAAGGAGGTTGAAGTAAAGTATCTGCTTTTGAGCACCTTTACCATTAAACTCTCCGGATCCTGAAGCAACTTCCATGCTTGTTTGGCTAACAATGCCTGATTGAAATCTTCTATATCTCTGAAGTCCATTCCTCCAAGATGTTTTGGAAGACACATTTTCTCCCAACTAATCCAATGCGTCTTTTTTTATCCTCAACTGTGCTCCACCAAAACTCAGCCATGGCACTTCTCAATTTTGCACAAATTCTTTTTGGCAGTTTAAAACAAGACATAGCATATATTCGCATCGCATATATGACTGATTTAAGGAGAGTTTCTTTACCTCCTGGAGATAAAGTTCTTGTAAACCAGTTGGAAATCCGCTTCTGCAGATGTGTGTTCCTTCATGTTTTGTATAGTTGCTGAAATGATCTAAACTCTAAGACCATCTTTTGTTATTAATCTCAGTTAAAAAAAAACATGTGTTTTTTCGGCTTTCTGACCTTTTGGCCAAGAAATTGGTAGTAGTACTAGTAGTAGTAAATAGTCACAGTATTTTCGCTTTATTAAATTGCTGAGACAAAAGATAAATCAGCCAATTACAAATCATTTTAAGCTTAGAGACTAGAGTTAGCAATTTCTTTTTTTTTAGAATAAAGATTAACCAGAACTACGAAATGGCTTTTGTTAAACTAACACAATCCATTCATCACTACCTCACTCTCCGCCACCGTTGCATAAACCCTAATCTCATCTTCTACTTCTCTGTTCCCTCTCGCAATCAACCTCTGAATCCGACTTCTCCAAGTTCTTAGATTTAATTGGTCCTGCTCCTATACACTCGTAAGCTCTCAATTTCTTCTTCTGAGCAATCTCCGGTTTCCTGGGTTCCTGTTTGATCCTCAGTTGAAAACCTCTCCGGTCAATGAATTCGAAAAAGATGGAAACTTTCATCTCCAGAGATTCCATCAGCAATCTCCCAGACGCTCTAATTTGCCACATCTTATCCTTCCTCTCCACAAAAGACGCAGCTTTGACCTCAACACTCTCGAAACGATGGAGACACCTCTTAGCTTTCGTCCCAACTCTCGATCTTGACAACACAATCTACGACCGCCCCAAAATGTGTAGACGAAGAAGACTTCACTTGCGCCAAAGCTTCAAGCTTTTCGTCGACAGAGTCATGGCTCTCCAAGGAAACGCTCCGCTGACGAAATTCTCTCTTAAGGTGTAAAATTGGCTCCGACCCATCTCGCGTCAATGGCTGGATACTCAAGGCCTTGGACCGCGGCGTTGTAGATCTCGATCTGTACGTCTCTTCGGAGTACAAGTATCCTCTGCCTCCACAGGTGTTGATGAGCAAGACGCTTGTGACGCTTAAAGTAGCAGGTACAGACGAATTCACCATTGATGTGGAGCGAGTTTCTCTCCCAAAGCTCAAGTCTTTGCGTATGGAGGACGTCTCGTTCTACGATGAGACCGGTGCTGCGTTCGCGGAGCTGGTCTCCGGCTGTGAAGCGCTTGAAGAGCTGGTTTTGACTAAAATGATGATTGATTTCTGGGATTCTTGCGTTGTCTCCAGCTCAACGCTCAAGAGAGTGAAAATCTACTCTGAGAACATTGATGAGAATCCAAAGAGTGTGTCTTTCGACACTCCCAATCTTGTTTACTTGGAGTTCACCGATGCCGTCGCGGTCAAGTATCCGAAAGCGAGATTCGAGTCGCTCGTTGAAGCTAGCGTAGGCATTCGAATGACGCCTGACCAAGTCTTTCACGCTAGAGATTTAGTGAACCGTCACTATGGCTACTCGTTGAACATGGTTGGAGATGCATCAGATTTTCTCATGGGAATAAGCAATGTGAAGATCCTCTACTTATCCTCTCAGGCTCTTGAGGTACTTATCTTCTGCTGTAAAGCAATACCGGTCTTCAACAACGTGACTCATCTAACAATTGAGACTGATCAAGAAGTGGAATGGGAAGCACTGCCGAGTCTACTCAAGAACTGTCCAAATCTTGAAACACTCGTCTTAGAAGGACTCCATTACGGAGATACGAATCAGTGTATGGACGATGATTACAAGTTCAAAGATACGAACAAGTGTTACGAGACTGGTGCGGACAGGTGTTCGTGCAAGCCTTGGTATGGCGTTCCTCTTTGGCTAACGTCAAGTCCAGTGAGGACGATCAAGGTGTTGAAGTTTGGAGGATTCACTAGTCACGTCGATGACATGGAGAAGCAGATGGATCTGATCAAGCACTTGGTGGAAACCATGGGGAATCTTGAACAAGTGGTGATATACTATGATACTCCCATAGACGGTGATCTGAGTACTGTGTCAACCGCGTTTCATATGCTTGATAAAGTAGCCTCGGCCAAATGCAAGATCCAGGTCATCTCTGATAACATCAGCTTCTCAAGTACTGTGCACTCTTCTTCCTCGTCTACAAGTGGGCTCGTCTTCTTTGAGACCACATTCCCGGTTTGAACATCATCTCAGAGAAGATTAGCAAAGCCTTTGGTTTTTTTGTTAGTTTCAGTCTGGTCTCTGTTCCTTCAGCTTCTCCGTTTGTACTTTCTTGTTATTCGTTTTTGATGATAGGCGACTTTTGTAAAGTTTGCTTAAACGTCAAGCAAGCTTTAATGAATCTTTGGTGTTTGAATAAAGCGTTCCATCGTTTGCAAGTAGTTGTTTTATGTTCATTGAGTGATGGATTTACAAACGATTGTTCTGCATATCCGAATCAATATTCTCTATCAAGGTTGCTGCAAAGCATGCCATGGCCTTAATTAGAAATAAATTTAAGACATAGGAGCACGCCTGTGATAAATTACAATACTTAGTGCAACACATGCATAGGACTTAACCACGCACTTCTCCAAACAAACGAAATAAATACTTGCAAACGTTCCAAGATTGAAAATAACCAGCATCATCATCATCAATTACTTTTTCAATACCAGTTTCTCCATTTAGAAAATGAAGACGGAGATGTTAATGATCCTCTTTGCGCTTATTTCAGCAGCAGCAACAGCACAAGTGACTGGTGGTCCTCCTGCAACACAGCAGAACAGAACCATCGAACCTAGTGTCTATAGAACTTGGTGCGTTTGCAAGCCATATTCCTCCCTTACTAAACTGAGATATGAAGTAAGTTGGGCTTGTGAGAATGGTGCTGATTGCTCACCAATTGAAAAGGGTGGCCTTTATGAGAACCTCAGCTTCACAGACCAAGTTTCTTATGCTTTCAATGACTTTTACCAGAAGGATCCTACACACCGCCAGTGTTATTTCCATGGCGCTGCTAGGATTACAAATAAAGACCCAAGTAATTCCAAACACTTTTGACATTCTACGTTTGATTAAATCCATTAGAGTTACACTGTGATAGTGTTGGAATTCATTTTTCGATTTGTGATTTGTGTTTCAGGTACTCCGACGTGTAAGTTCCCATCTAACAGGTGAGCACAAGTTTTTCATTTCTTTTCGTTTTTTTTTCTCCCATAAACCAACACAGTAGATAATCTAATAAATCGATTTTCAGTACTTCCACATTCCCAGCGAGTTCTTCAACAAGAAGGGAAGTTCCAAACCTAGGAAGCTTCTTGTGGGGTCTTGGATTCACATACCTGGCTTATCTTGCTGCTCAGATAGCATGAAACAGAGCAATGGGAAGCTGAAGAAACTTGCAAAAATAGAGCTATCAGTTGTGGTACTTTAAGAAAAATTATTTTCTCTTTGTATGTGTGGACACTCTTAGAGGCATATAGCCAGTTATAGAGTAAAGATTCTGAATCTCTAAACGCTGAATAGTCAATAGACCATGTTGCACTACAAACGGTTATATACCTCTTTGCATCCTCAATTTCAGTTTAAAAATAAACAAATTTGATTCAAACAAAAATATTAAAGGCACCAAAAAGAAAAACTTAATTAGATCTTGCTCGTTGAAGAGTAGTCTTAAAATGATGAGAAACTCTGCTATGTTCTCCCTAAACTTCATGCACGTAGCTTTCGTAGCGAAACACGTCTTCGAGCTCTTCCTTTCCCATCTGTCAAAGAACTCAAGTGTGTCATGTTACCAAACAAACCATCATCAGATGTTTTATGCCATAGATTAATTGCTTACCTCTTGTCAATCTTCCAGATGCAAGTAAAGCTTCTTCAGCCATTGTTCTCCACTGTTCTGCACAAGAGTAGTTCACTCCCATACCAACACTGAGTCCTCTCAACAAAACTACAGTGCGTAGAACAGAAAACAGTTCCTCTGGAAATGCCTTATCACCAAAGAAAACACACAGTCAATTGTAGCTTTTCTTTACTTTGTTAGCATCAAGATGGTGCTTGACTTAATTACCTCAACAGCTATCTTTTTAATCGAAGAGTCGTCCGAGAAAGGTTGCAACACTGTCTGACCATCTGGCATCTTTGTATCGAAAAGTGTTTGTGCTAAACGTAGAAGCTCTTGCTGCTCGTTCTCACACTTGGCTACTGTATGCAAACCAAGTTCCCTGAATCATCCACAACCGCAACAAGTAATGAGTTTCATGCCAAACAAGATCACAAAGTTACCTTTTTTAATGCGTTTTTGAGATACCTAAAGCTTTGTGACACTCTTGAGGCATTGTTATCAGCCATATCAATGACCAAATTTGCATAACCAAGTCTCAACTTGTCAGGGAGTTCCTTCACTTGACCATAGTCCAACAGTGCAACCTGACGACATGAAACAATATTACAACTCAGACTATAGAGACAGGAAAGATCTGCTAAAAGAACACACAAAAAAACAGCAAAATTTGACTTGCCTCTGGACCTTTACAAATCAAGATATTTCCGGGATGTGGATCGGCATGAAAGAAGCCACTTTTCAGTATCATTTGGCCATATGCACGGGATAAACTGTTTAGTATATTGCTGTGGCAAGAGGAGACACACATATATATATATATATATTTCAAAATGCAAGCCAATTTAACAACAAAGACAATAGCTAATGAGACTTTGTGCCAAAAGAACAAAGGCACCATACTCTCTGAGATGATGTAGGAGCTTACTGCTTTGCTGCCTCTGCAATCTTACCATGAGGATCTATCCCTCTTCTAGCCATCTCATCACCGAGGCTCAAGATTGGAATCCCATTAATGTATTCCATCACCAGAACTCTCCTGAACGAATCACCATTGTTCATATAGTAAGTACTTGCTAATCAAGATAACCAATCAGGTATGTGATTACGGAGAGTAAGATCATCACTTACTTAGTCACCATATCTCGAAGAACCCTTGGAACCACAACAGGAGACTTTCTGTTGTTCTCATAAAGAAAATGCCGAATTCTTTCCATTGCGTTGGCCTCCCTTTTGAAGTCAAATTCATAACCAATCTTGAAAGAATAAAAAACGCATAGATGTTCAGTGACTTGATAGGTACCTAACAAAGAAACCAGATTGATAAATAGTTACCTGTGTTTCCATTTCCTTTGTTATAGAGTGCAGGTCAAATTTGATATCTGTTCTCTGCATGTATAAGGCGAATAGCTGCAAGTTTCTTATATCTGTCATCATCAACCTTTCGATGCCAGGATGTTGAACCTACACAACGTGATATTGAATTATAATCCAATGGAAAAAAAGATGGAAACATTTTAGTTTTTTATCATGATAATGCTCACCTTTACAACAACATTCATCTTGTTACCCTTTACTCTTGCTTTGTGAACCTAATAACAGAAACCAAAGAATATGTCACCACATACATATAATCTCTTAGCCAAGACACCATCTACTTCAACTCAAACAAACAAAATAGCCAAAAATGAATGTCTATTACTCATTAATCTTGATGGAAATGTCATTTTTAAGCATGAAAATGCCGCTACATAATAGATCTTAGGCAAGAGAGGAGACAATTCTAACAAAAATCAAAGAATCATGAGTTTTAGAGCCATAAACTACCCTGAAGGTTCTCAGCTCTTAGAATAGTTTATCTTCCTCTTCCCTTAATGACACTTAAGTACAATATTTTCTTAGTGGTTCCGCTTGTACAGTATCTATGTAGTTTCAGGATTGGTCCACCACCAAGGCCTTATGCTTATTTAATCAAAAGGTTTCAACTTTCAACCAAAAGCTGTAAATACCTGAGCAATAGAAGCAGAGCCAAGAGGCTTCTCGTCAAAAGTTTCAAAGATTTCACCAATGCTACTACCTAACTCCTTCTCAAGAACACGTTGAACGGCATCGAACGGCGTCGCAGGAGCTTGATCACACAAAGTCACAAGCTTTCTCACCCACGCAGCTGGGGCCATGTCAGGTTTTGCTAAAAGTTGAGCAATCTATTCAAAAAGTCAACATTAGTGAAGAACACAATTTAATGCAATAAAGCCAAAAACTTTAGCATTTAAGAACCAAAAACTTCAATGCACCTTAAGGAAGAAGCCTCCAAGATCAGAGCACATGAAGTATATTTTATCAGCAGCTTGCTCGTGTTGTCTTTCCCACATTTCTTCTCGTTTCTTTGCATCCTTTACTAAACTCACTCGAAGTTGAAACACCTGAATCCAAAACCCAATTCTAAATTTTCCAGGAAAAACTGAGAAACAAAAACTGTAGATTTATGAACGAGATGAAAGAAATACCAGTCAAAGAGAGACCTTGTAGCCAGTGTAGATATCGGAAGCTCGGACCCAGAATTGAAAAGATCGTTGCCATGGACGGAAGCTATCCGAGATCTTCTCCTGAATCTCTTTGAAATCGAACCCATGCATTTTTTTTTCTAAGTTTTGAAATCAAATTGAGTAAAAAAAATTTCAAGTCGAAATGTGAAAGCTTTTCGGAAGAAACGATGAAGTTGAGAATCTCAACTTGAGATTGTGGCTGCGAGAGAATGATGAAAAGCGTTTCCTTTGACCAAATCCTTAATAAACGCTAAATTGGAAAAATACCAAACAACCTTCGGAATATGGAGAGATTTTTAAAGATGGAAAAAATCCAAAAAAAAAATAAAATCCAAACTTTACATTTTAGCAATAGAGATTTTTAAATTCTCAAATGTTGCACTGATCAAGGAATATTTTAGATCTGTTGTAAGTCAACGGTAAGATTACTTAGCTTTTTGGTTTACACATTATCTCGAATCAATCGTTTAAGGTCTAAATGATAATCGCTGAATGTTGTTAAGTGCAGAATTTTGCGGAATTAAGGATCTAAATGGTGACCGAAGAATCTTGCTGAATGCGGAATGTTGCGGAATTAAATGATGAATAGTTGCAAAATCTGGCTGATTTATTAGTAACATGAATGGTAAGAGCTGAATTTTGCTGAAAGCGGAATAAATATATCATATATTATTTTTGTAACAGAATAACAAAATATTTACACAATTGAATGAAAAAAAAAACTAAAAGAAATCATATAATTGTGAAATATAATAGTTTAATAACATAAATAATTTAAAATATATACAATTTATTTTTTCGATCCGTAATTTATTATTAAGTTTCAGTTTTGAAAAAACTCTAATCGAATTGAATGCTGGATAATTGTATTTAATATTATACTCAAATCAATCTATAATATTTTTAAATTTGTTTATAATATTTTCTTACAACTACTATTTTGGTTAGAGATTAACTACAAAAAAAAAATTGAAAATAAAAACTTAAAACAATTGTTGCATGGTGTACCTTTTGATTTTCTTTAATTTGATTTAACTATAATATTTTTCAACTCATTCTAAAATTATTAAGTTATTATTTTAAAGTGTCATGTATCTAAATTTACACTTGAAAATCATTTAAATGATGTAAATAAATTGAGGTGTTCAAAGACTTGTGGTGGGACCCAAATGAATTGTGGTGTTTTAAGCTGAATTCCACAATTCCACATTCCACAGTTGATGGTGAGTTATCAGCTGGTGTACAAATTTTGTTTTCAGCTGGAATTCAGCTCAATTCCTCAATTAAGCTGATATTAGTTAGGGCTTGAATTGAAATTTGTTGCAGAATCTGGCTGATTAGTTAGTAATATGAATAGTAATAGCTGAATATTATTGAATGCGGAATGTTGCTGAATACGGAATAAATACCTAACAAATTATTTGTGTAACAGATAACAAAATATTCACCCAATTAACTTAACAAAATAAATAAAACATATAGTTGTAAAATAGCAGTTTAATCAAATAAATAATTTGAAATATATATGATTTAGAAATCATGATTTATAATAATTTCTTAAACATCAAACATCAAATGAAAAAAGACATTTTAAAAATAAGATTCATTAATAAAAGCTGTCTTATATTTGCTATTTAATTCTCTTTCGTATTATATACATATATAAGTATCATTTGTTATTCTCTCCTTCTTATATACATTTTATGTCTGGTTAATAATATTAAAATTTATATAAAATCTTATTATAATTAAGTGTATTTTAGACTAAAATAAGTATTATTTAATATATCATATCATATTCGGATACTTTTTTACATTTTTTCTTTTCTAGATCTGAATTCGTAAATTTATCTTTTGGACCCGTAATTTTATTATGAAGATTCGGTTTCAAACACTTCAACAATTCAAATATTCGAAGATATCAGATCGGATAATTGATTAGTTGTTCCACTCTTAGGATTTTTTTGTGACATTCTAGAGTTCTTCATATTAAAAAAAAAAACAAAAACAAAATACCTAACTATTATTTCATTTAAATTTGTAAATAATTTACATTATATAAAAAAGTTTTAATCATAAAGTTTTAGTTTTTTTTGTCACATAAATTAAATTTATTATAGTGCAATACTAAGATATAAAGAAAAACTAAAATAAAAAATAAAAAACAAAGCATTTGACAATTCTTCAGCATTCCTTAACATTCCTCAATACATATCAACTGGTGTACTAAAAAAAAATTCTTCAACATTCCTCAGAATTCTTCAAATCACATGTTACCAGTTAGGGCCTAATACTCTGTTTGGCTGTAAGCAATATGATAAGAACACAACCCGATCTTTAGTCCTTGAGCTCAATTTAGCAAAGAGTTGTGTTAATTAACCACTATTTTCCTAGATTAAATTAAATATGTAGACTCTAGCTTTTAAATTACATGAACCTGCACCAATAGTATTAAGTATATAACAATACAAACTTTTTCCGATCCGAAATTTTATTAAGATTTACTTTTTAAACCAAAATTTCTTACAATATTGTTTAATGAGAGTTAGACCATCTCTAATGTATTCCATCATTTTCTCTTTTATTTTAGTGTTTCCCTATAATAGTATTGAGTTTCTCACCAATGTATTCCCTTATTTTATACACTAAAAAGAGAATATTCTGAGAATATTCTAAAACTAAATTTATTGCAAAAATATTTTATTTATAAGTTTTACAAATTAGCCACACTTATTTTATTCTTTATAAAAAAGTTTCATAACTTAGTATATTATTTAAATTAAACAATTGTTATACAAAGTAATTACATTACTTCATTAAAAATACAAAAAGTTAATAATTTCTCATTTATATACTTTTATAGAGTTATTTATTATTTATTTTGTAATGGATAAAATTGAATTTTAATCCATTTGTATAATACAAATCATGTCATTTTCTAAAATAATGATTTATGAGTAATTCTAGTAAAAAAAAAAGAAAACAAAAATGAAATTTATGATTTATTTAAGTTAGAAATAAAAGAAACTAAATTTGAAGGATTAATATGTAAATAAAAAAGATCAACATCAAAATAAGGGGAGAAATAAAGTTATACTATAAATAAGGGAAAAATTAGTGTTCCCTCGTTTTAATGTCAATTATAAGGATAGGTTGGAGATAAATTTCACACTAAAATAGTGTTTGAGAGAAGATTTGATGGTGGGTTGAAAATGCTCTTACATAACATCACACATGTGATTTCTCACAAATGCAGTAAGAGCATCTCCAACCCACCCTTATATTTCCCCTGAAACACTATTTTAGTGTAAAACTCTTCTCCAACCCACCCTTATATTTCCCATCAAAATAAGGGAACACTATTTTTTCCCTCAAATATAGTGTGATTTTATTTCTCCCTTATTTTTGATGTTATACTTTTTTATTTGCATAATGATCCCTCAAATTTAACTTTTTCTTATTTTGAACCTAAACAAATTATATTTAAATATTTATTTCAATTATATCATAATTATTAAAGTTTTATAAACTAAAATCTATCATACTTTATATTTTTAATTAACAATGTAGCTTAATTACTTTAAATAAGAAACATTTAGTTTAAATAATATATTAATTTATGGGTTTTTTCTCAAAGAATAAAATAAGTGGGACTAATTTGTGAAACTTATAAATAAAAAGATTTTATATATAATATAATATTCATTTTTAGTGTAAAAAATAAGGGAATACATTGGAGAAAAACATCACATATTATAAGGGAACACTAAATAAGGGAAAAAATGATGGAATACATTGGAGATGGTCTAACAACTGTGTCTCTTTTTGTTCTGAACCCCTAATTCATGAAGATACAAGTTGTTTTCTTTTTCAGAAAAAAAATGTTTTTTTTTTCTATTACAAAAAGAGATAAACTCGTTCTAAAAACCCTATAAAACTTTTATAGGCAAATCTTCATTGTAGAGACACCTCCAGTCTGAACTGCAACAATCTTAGCTTGACTTTAGCCACACTTGTAGCTAACTGCACCTGCAGTATCGTCAATCACTTTGCAACATATGTAGCCATAAAACTGTTCCTCCAGTCCCGTCTTTGACTTTAGCCACTCTTGTAGCTCATTGCATATGCAATATTGTAAAATCACTTTGACTACACCTGGAGTCTCCAAACTGCTCATGGAGTACTATTTTGACTTTAGCCACAACTCTAACTAATTGCATCTGCAGTACCATCAATCTCCAAACGAGTCTGTTACGTTCAAGAGCTACTCCACAACCATTCACATATGGGTTTGGGTTGCTCCTGCAGCTTGAACAACTTCACTGTTGACTCCAGTCACATTTCTTATTTTTCTGCATGATTTTTCCCGCCATCTATCACTGTGCATCTTCAAGACTTTTTTTCCACTATTGACTTTACTCACGTTTATTCTTTTTCTTTTATTTGTCAGAAACATAATCCACGTCATCAGCGTCTTCTGCTTCTGCATACGCGTATGGTTTTTCGCACCATCGTTGTGCATCTTCAAGACTTCTTATATATACAAGAATCCTTGTATCTTCAAGCTTATCTTATTCTTACCTATAAAATTTGTGGAAATTTGGAAAAAACAAAACAATATTTAGGATTTCCATTTTCAAAACTAATAAATAACGATCATTTTGTTAATTATTTATATTTGTGACGATTTTTTATTAATGTTTTCAATCTTATTTTATTTATTTTCACGGATAATATGATATTATTTTTATTTTCATTTCACGAATGGTAAAATCTTATCAGTTATGAAAAAAAAAAACATTTAACTCGAAATAACATCTTTTCAAAAGTGTGAACACATGCTATGTACGTACATCCGAAAACGCGTTCATAACAATTTCATCATAGTATTGTATTATTCTTAATGGTATCAAATAAACGTTTGGTAGTCTATTGGAGTCAATAACCCATAAGAAAATCCAAACTCTTTATTGCTGGGAAGAAGTCTTGTAGGCCAATGAGGCTTGTGGAACAGTTTTCCTATCGTTGTCCCATTGATTTTCACAAGTATGAAACCATGCTACGTTCATTAAAATTTCCTAGTATTCTACTATTCTGATTGTTGTCATATCAATAAACGTTTGGTAGTCTGTTTGAGTCAATAACCCAAAAGAAAATGCAAACTCTTTATTGCTGGAAAGAAGTCTTGTAGGCCAATGAGGCTTGTGGACTAATTTTCCTATCATTGTCTCTCTAAATACTCTTTTTTTCATAGAAGGAGAAGACTTCACTTTATCCTGTTTGAGTAAATATTCCATAAGAAAATTCAAAGTACTTACTATTGCTGCCATTCTGAGGAGATGCCGTGTGGGCCGCACAAATCACAATGAGGCTGGATTAATTTTCCTTACGTTTGTCTATTTAAGTACCCTCTTCCGGAGAAGGAGAAAACATCACTTTATCGTTCTAATCTTGTATGATCATGAAGTTGTTTCTTTTTCTTGCTTTCTACACTCTCATTTTACTCGAAAATTTGGTAGTGGGTTTCTCTGATGAAGCGTCCAAGTTCGATGGTAATGCTGATAGAAAAGCATTACTCGCGTTGAAGTCTCAAATTTACGAAACCGAAAGACTAGCCTTGGCATCGTGGAATGAATCTATTCCGTTCTGCAAATGGAAAGGTGTTACCTGTGGCCGCAAACACAAAAGAGTTACTCGTTTAAACCTCAGAGGATTGAAACTTGGTGGGATCATCTCACCTTCTATTGGTAATCTTTCTTTTCTCAGATCACTTAATCTTGGAGAAAACTCTTTTGGTGGTACCATACCAAAAGAGGTGGGAATGTTGTTTAGGCTTCAACGGTTGAATATGAGCTATAATAATTTTCAAGGAGTTATTCCAACTAGCCTCTGTAACTGCTCTAGATTGGTGACACTAAGTTTAATGTCAAACCGTCTTGTACACGGTTTGCCTTTAGAGCTAGGATCGTTATCTAACCTTGAAATGTTGATTCTTTCGAAGAACAATATTTCAGGGAAGCTTCCCACATCTTTAGGAAACCTAACATCACTCAGTCAACTTGCCATTGCATATAATCATATGGATGGAGAAGTTCCAAATACAATAGGTAGATTGACAAAGTTGATACATTTCCAAATCTCAGTAAACAATTTCTCAGGTGTTTTCCCACCAGTAGTATACAACTTGTCCTCACTTAGGTCTTTATCCGTTGCTCGCAATCTTTTCTCGGGTAATCTTAGGCCTGGTTTTGGAAATATGCTTACAAAAATTGAGGAGCTGTGTTTAGGGGGGAATTTTTTTTCAGGAGATCTTCCCAAAACAATATCCAATATCTCAACCCTCACGCGCCTATCTGTTTCACAAAATCATTTCACTGGAAATATTCCAATTACTTTTGGAGCATTACACAATATTCAATACCTAGGGCTTGATAATAATTCTTTTGGAAACAACTTAGTGGGAGATCTTGACTTTCTTAGTGCTTTGGTAAACTGCACTCATCTCCAAATGTTGGATGTTGGTTACAATAGACTTGGAGGAGAATTACCAATCTATGTAGCTAATCTTTCCAAGGCGCTGACCCGGTTATACTTTGGAGGAAATCTTATTGCTGGAAGCATTCCTCATGACATCGGGAATCTCAAAAACCTCGAGTCACTTGGCCTGGAAACCAATCTGTTGACAGGACGAATACCAACCTCTCTTGGGAAGTTTTCCGGGTTGATACAACTGTTCCTGAACTCAAATAGAATGACAGGAGAAATACCAGCAGATCTCGGAAACATCACTAGCTTAGAGGCTCTCTATTTGTTTAACAATAGTTTTGAAGGAAGCATTCCTCCGAATCTTGGGAACTGTCGATTTCTCTCAGACCTTCGTATAGGTAACAATAGGTTAAACGGTAGTATACCTCAAGAAATCATGCAAATTGAGTCTCTTGTGAACTTGCATGTGTTAGAAAATTTGTTGACCGGTCCTTTTCCCAAAGATGTTGGAAGATTAAAAAACCTTGTTGTGCTATCTGCTGCAAACAACATGTTTTCCGGACACATTCCAGAGACATTAGGGAAATGTCTTGCCCTGGAAGAGATTTACTTGGAAGGAAATGCATTTGATGGAGCTATTCCAGATATTAGAAACTTGAAGGCTCTTACATACTTTATCTTATCAGACAACAGTTTGTCGGGCGGCATACCGGAATATCTTGCCAATTTTTCCTCGTTAGAGAGTTTGGATCTCTCTGGTAACGACTTTGAGGGAATGGTTCCAACGAAAGGAATATTTCAAACTCCGGAAAAGTTTTCAGTTTCTGGTAATGGAAAGCTTTGTGGAGGCATCCCAGAACTAAAACTAAGATCATGCCCTCAAAACGTGACATCATGGGCAAGAAGACATTCATCAAACAAGAAGAAAATTTTCATCGGTGTTGGTATTGGTGTAGCTTCTCTTCTGTTGTTACTACTGGCTCTGAGTTTTCTTGTGAAAAGGAAGAAGAGAAACGGTGCAGAAAACACCAACAATTTCTTGTCAAATACTTCATTAGACCCTTTCCACGAAAGGGTAAGTTTTGAGGAGCTTCGTGCTGCGACTCATGACTTCTCTTCAAGCAATCTGATTGGTTCAGGAAATTTTGGCTCTGTTTTTAGAGGGTTGCTTGGTCCCGAGTCTAAAGCTGTTGCGGTTAAAGTTCTAAATCTCCAAACGCGTGGCGCAGCCAAGAGCTTTATGACGGAGTGTGAAGCCTTGAAAGGTATAAGGCATCGAAACCTAGTGAAACTTGTGACTTGTTGCTCAAGCATTGATTTCAAAGGAAATGAATTCAAAGCTCTTGTGTACGAGTTTATGCCGAACGGAAACCTAGACACGTGGCTGCACCGAGAGGAAGCCAAAGTCTCGGTAAGTCATTCAAGACCATTGAAGCTAAGTGAACGACTTAACATAGCCATAGACGTGGCTTCCGTTTTGGATTACATCCATTCCAATTGTCATGACCCTGTAGCTCATTGTGATATAAAGCCAAGCAATGTTCTTTTAGACGATGATCTAACAGCACATGTGAGTGACTTTGGTCTTGCTCGGATCATTGACCAAGAATCCTTCATCAACCAAGTTAGCTCCACGGGTGTTAGAGGAACCATCGGCTATGCTGCACCAGGTAAAAACTATTTGTGAATATTGTTGAATCTTCCCTATATTATTCTTCTTTTGTCTTATCATTCCTTTTCTTGTGATGAAAGAATATGGAATGGGAGGCAAACCATCGAGAGAAGGGGATTTTTACAGCTTTGGTGTTCTTTTGTTGGAGATGTTCACTGGAAAGCGTCCCACTGATGAAGTATTTGTGGAAGAATCTACTCTCCGTAGCTACACCGAGTCGGGGTTGCAAGAACATGTTCTTGATATAGCTGACATATCGATTCTCCAAGGCGAAGTTGGCAACAAAAACATGAGCACTATTGCTGAGTGTTTGAAGTTGGTGTTTCACGTGGGAATAAGGTGTTGTGAAGAATCTCCCACAAATCGGATGACGATGGCTCAAGCTTTAGCTGAATTAGTCTCAATCAGAAAGAGATTCTTTAGTAGCCAGAGGACGAGATTGTAGACGGTCAAGATATTTGCGAATTTTGGGAAACTTTGCCGCGGACGATGCATGTATCAATGTCGAAAATTTAGTAATGTTTGTGTACGCTTTTGTAATTTGAATTTAAATTGGCTGGCTTAAAATCTTGTGCATGTATAAATATGATGAATGACTAAATATTTAATATCTAAATATATGTAATATATATTGCAAAACCAGATAATTATGTCCTGAGAAGTGAGAATCACACAACTTTCGTCTAATTAAGGTAATCGATTGTCCTCTGTTCTTTAGCAACTTATAGATTGCACCAGTTTCATAATGTTTTATATATTTCTTAAGAAAAGTAAAATTTTAAAATAATAATAATTAATAGGTAATAAAAGAGGAACAAATTATTTTTAGTTTAATTTAGTAATGGTTTCATTAATTAATTAATTAACTTTGAGTATTCCTATAGACCTAGGGTTTAGGAAAATTTTCGTTTTGCCTCCTTTATAAATTATACAACTTCTATGCGTGAAAGCATCATCAAAAAAAGTTTCTGAAAATTTCTGTCTTGGCTCAAGATAACAAAAATCTAAACACCTGCTTTGATCAAACATGTGGAATCAAAAGCCTAGGTTTAGGTTTGAGATAAATACCTTCTCGAAGAAGGAAGCTGGCATAGTGTCTCCCATATTCGAGTATGGCGGATGCGAATGGTAAAACGAGAAGAATCGGAACTTTAATTGAATTGTGCTCTGTTCAATCCTCTAAAGATTGGTTATTTGATTTGTATTTGTTCCTTATTTATTTTTAAATTCTTTCAGGTGTCTCAACGTTTGGCCCAAGGGAGATCGTTGTGATGATCACTTGTCTTTGTTCCTGCGCGTTGCAAATCCTGAGTCACTGCGAACTGGTTGGAAAAGGAATGTTAAACTTTACTTTGTTGTGTTAAATCAATCCGAGAATGAGCTCTACAGGTCATCAAGTAATGAATTTTTACCCTTTCCATATTTTACTTTTTTTCTTTTTCTTCTTTTTTTTTGTTTTTTTTTATTTTATTTTAAAAATATCATGTGTTTAGAATTTACAAATAGTCAACATTGATGGTAAACTGATAAGAATATATCCCATAATGAGGAGGAAGATTTGCAAGATTTCTTATATATAGAACATTGTTGCAATAAAAAATAGGCCTATACTCATGTTTGTAGCAGCAACTTTACACTTTTGTCGTTTTTGCTAATATTCCACAGTTGGACAAACAAACACCTTGTTTTGTGCTGAGAGTCAAGCATGGGGGGTCCGAAAGGTCTTGCCTCTAAGCAAGTTTCCGGAGAACGGCAGCCTTATCATTGAAGTATACATTGATGTTGTTGAAGCTATTGATGGAGAAGGCACGGATGTATCACAGAAGAAGGAGGCTGTGGATATCAACGGTTTTCAAGCTTTTGCTTCTCACGTAAGTTTAAAAAGATATTTTTCTGTTTTAAAGATCAAAAGTATGTTTCAGTTAATTTCATTATAGGGCACGCTTTTTATTTGGCAGGTTACTTCAGTGAAAAAGGTATTCACGGAACACGTGGTTAAGACAGAATACAAGAATGTGCTAATCAACGCTTGCAGCAAGTTAAGTGAGCTAGCGGAATTAGGATCCAAGATGGACTGGTTGAAGTCAAAGCTTGATGAAGTTTCCTTGAAGAGGAAGAAAGAAGATGATGAGGATGGGTCTCGGTTCCAACAGCTCGAGGAACGTATCAAGAATCTTGAACTGATGGAGTCTGGATCCAAGATTGACTCTCTGAAGTCAGAACTTGGTGAGATCTCTTTGGAGAGGAAGAAATCATGTGATGCTGATAGGTCTCTTGTTCGAAAACTTGAAGAGAACACCAAGAAGCTTGAATTGATGGAAAGGGAGTTCGAGATTGTCTCTTTGAAGTCAAAGATTGAGGAGATGTCCTTGGAGAGGAAGAAATTATGTTATTCTGATGAGTCTCTTTTCAAAACACTTGAAGAACGCATCAAGAATCTTGAAATGATGGAATCGGGATTCAAGATTAACTGTTTGGAGAACAAGCTTGACGAGATCTCCATGGAGAGAGAGAAATCATATGATGCTGATGGATCTCGTGTTCAAAAGCTTGAAGAACGCATTAAGAATCTTGAACTGATGGAATCGGGATTCAAGATTGACTGTTTGAAGTCAAAGCTTGAGGAAATCTCCTTGGAGAAGAAGAAATCATATGATGCTGATGAGTCTCTTGTCAAAAAAATTGAAGAATTTATCATGAATCTTGAACTGATTGAATCGGGCTTAAAGTCAAAGCTTGAGGAGGTTTATTTGGAGAGGAAGAGATCAGATGATGATGATGGTTCTCGTGTCCAACAACACGAAGACCGCATCAAGAATCTTGAGCTTGTGGTGTCAGATCTCAAAGTTGAGCTTGACAAGGAGAAGACCAAATCGTTTGTTGATGGATTTTTGCTGGTCGATGATGTTGCTTAATTTTGAACTCTAGTTTTCAATTTATTGATTTCTTCTAGTGCTATCATCGTTTTTTTTTCGTTATTATGTTGCTTTCCGGATTTTAGTAGTCTAGAGATTTGGCTTAATTAAAAGACTTGGTGTTGACGGTTTCATTCTCTCTTTTTCAGAGTCACTACTTTTGTACAATTCATTTGACCTTTTTTTGGGCTTAATTCTAAAGTTCCATAAACAACTTGAGAGACGTAAACATGTTTCAGTTGCTCAAAGTATATGTTTGTTAATTTAATTAAAGTCTTCTAATTACAAAACAATTGTTGTTGTGTAAGTAAGATTATGCAATTCAAAAGAGTTGCCCAAAAAACAAAGGCAAAGATTGATTGAGTTTAAACCCGTTAACTATAAACCTAAGTTGTCGTTCTATAGGTGTATTTAACATTTGTTATTTAGGTTTTCGATTCGGTTGGAGCTTGCAAGATGATTGATAAGTGACTTTTATTCATGTTTCTATTTCGGTTTCCAACTTATCTTACAAACAAATTGAAATAGAAAGCTTAACTGATGCAAACTATGGATTAGTTTATTAGAAAAAAATTAAACTTGATATGATGAATTTATAAGCATACACAGTTTACCTACAAGTTTATACGAATATATATACAAACACAAAACACCATATTCTTATTCACATCCTCAGTATGTTCCCTTAACTGTTTTACAATAATACTGTTACACAAAAACAGATTAAAACATGGAAAAAGAAATTATATATACCACAAAACAAGGTAACGATAAATTGTCTGCCCAAATGTGCAGATTTTAAAACCTCATAAAAAATATACAAAAAATATAAATAGAACTAACAAATAGAGAATACTAGAATTAAACGTAGTTTAAAGAGTAACTAGCAGTGGATGCTATATATTATAACTAAAGAGGTGTTAATAATAGTAACTAGAGATGGTAGGAGAAGGAGGAGCAGGCTATGCAGGCAAGGAGGTAGATGGCTGAAGAAGCTCCGTCGTTGTCCAGATCACAAGTGCTTCGCTTGAATCTGCAACTTCTGTCTTTGTTGCAATTCGTGATTGATTGCATCTTCTTTTTCGGACGATTTTGATCTTCTCTACACTTCTTTATCTTCTCTCTCTGTTTCATTGCTTCTTCTGCTCTGCTCACCATTTTTTGTAGATGAAAGAGCTCAAAGAATTTAGTGTAGGACAAGAGTCGCACTTCCTGTTTCCATATATATAGAGCCAAGTTTCTTTATGAATTACAATATTAATTGTGGACTCGTCTGAAATGGCATTTTTAGTTTTTTTTTTTTTTTTTTGATAAATTTTTTAGTAATTTTAGCTTAAATATATTTTATAAAACAACCAAAACCATATTTTAACACGTAAATGATGCATTCGCATAAAAGTCTTTTACTTCAACATTTATTATATGACCCTCCCCGTCTTTTATTATAATGAAAACATCTTACATTATCAACTAAAATTAATATTTACATAAAACTTTCAAACTGTTGCAAGATCCATGTTGTTCTGACCGTATCCGCTTTAGAGAGGCCCTACTGTTCAAGTCTTGGATTCATGATACCAAACATTTTAATGAAAATGTTTCTAAATAGTTTGAAATACTATGGACAGTATTTGTTTTACTGGACACATAAACGCCAAACTTTTTTCTAACAGATTCAATGCATCTTTTTTTTGTTCTTTTAAATTTAAATGTGCATACTCAAATTACTTATGATATAAGAACTCAGAGAATGTTTAGTTTTGAGTTAGTTTGAAACCCATATTAACACAAGATAAATATATATTTCCTATATTTTCAATGCATAAAAACTATAGAGCTCTCTAGGTGATATAAATCTGTTTCTACTCAAAATAACTTTTTCATCGATTGAAAAATGCAACCAATTTATAAACTACCTTTTAGTTTTTTTTTGGTTAGCGGCTAACTAATAACATTGTGTATATATCTGCAAATCACAAGTTATTTAAAATTTAAATTATAAAGTAAGAGCTAGAAAAGCAAGTCGTTAGCAACGATAATTGCCAATATCATGGAGTTGACCATTGTTTTAAGTTTTAACAACAGCGCACTTGGTTCTCTAAATAGGTGAGAACACCATTGATTATCCCAATCATTTGTGGGAAGTGAATATAGTAATGTAATTGTAACATGCATTAAACCCATAAATGGGCAAGGCCTAATGCCAATTATTAACACAGTGATGCTAAAGAAGTTTCTGTAGATGAATATAAAGTAGTAGTACTATAGATATGTGGAATCTTTTGTCATTGTTATAACAAAATGTGGAATTATTGAAAAAGGTAAAGAAGAAAGATTAAATTTGGTTTTGGCTGGGAGCGAAAAATGGCATGTGGAGAAGACAATGTCACATGTCACATGTAAGAACGTTATGATGTTTGGTCTGAAACGGCGCCATTAAGCATGCATTTCACTTCCTCTCACATTTACTTATCAAACCCATTCCCTTCAATAGTTCTGATGGATAAACTTGTAGATCATATTCAATGCTCCTCCACATTGTATGGTGGCAGGAAACCATAACTATAGCAACAACAAACCAAACCAAAATACTTAAATTCAAATCAAATAAAAAATAAAAATTAATTGGTTAATTAACTGAAACCCCAGAAACCCGATATTAAAATCAATATGAAACTTTTTTTTTTTGTCAACAGTCTCTATTTCTAGAATTGTTTGTGAATCGATATTGTTGACAAATAAAATAAAAAAACCAGTATCCTTAAATTTTAAGGGCACGAAGAAATTAAACAACACTAAACGTGTTTCTTCTGCTATTGCAAGATCACCTGCTGTCAGATTCTCAGAATGATTCATTCCGTTGGCAACGTTCTGAAAATATCCGCTTACGAGAAAAATCTTCGTTCTTCTTTTTGGTGCAAACAAACTACTCCCTCCGTTTCAAATTAGTTGTCGTTTTGGCAAAATGTATCTGCAAATATTTGGACGTATCTGGACGTGTTTTGCATTGCAGATACATCCAAATAATTGCAGATACATTTTCCCAAAACGACAACTAATTTGAAACGGAGGGAGTATTCAATTTCCTTAAATATGTTATCCTTTCATTAATTGTTCTTTAATTTAAACTTGGTGTCCAAGAATTTTTTTTTCTCTTTATAAGTCTCTATGTAGACAATTCGTAGAGAGCTTAAAATACACACAAGAAATCACCAAAATATATATTTAAGAAAATTTCGGGAAAATGTCTCAACTTCTTAACCGAGTCGTCAATCTTGTATGCAAAAATCTCCTTGAAAGCTATTTGCCGTGTGATTATATAGTTAGGCCAACGTACTTAATCACATGTTCCAGAGACGCAATAACAAGATGGTCGTCTATGCCAATCTACCAGTATATGTTAATTGACCGCATCCTTAACCTAGCATTATTCCGCAAAGATTCTCTGGATGGTCGCATTGCCATAGGCAAATATTCAACGGGATACCATGCACACATCGTGATTAAGGACGTGGAACTCGAGAAGGAAGTCCGCAACGCAATGACTCTCGGTTATACAATGGTGGTTTTACACTTAGAATGAACAATACCATCCGCGTGAGTCTCTTCACCGGCTGTCCTCTTCCCGGGGGTTCCGTGATCCAAAACATTGCGATGACCTCTTATCTTGATCTAAAGAATGAAGATTGGGTAATGGTATCAAGCTATATGGCTCTAAGATTATGCTTTTTAGGCGCACATGCGAACCTAGGTGGATCAATGTAAAAGCCATGCCTCAGTCTATTTTCACATCCTCAAGTCTCATGTATTCTAAGAAGGATAAAAGGTTCTACGTTCCAACTCCTGGAGGAGATTGTGAGTCAACAAGGCCCAGGTACACCAAGCCCAGTGAAGGAAAAGCCCATAAACTATATTCAGAAGAAGACAAGAGTGAAAGTTGTATCAGAAAAGAAGGAGAAAGAGCCGTTAGAGCTTATCAACAAGTTTACCATACTTGGTACTCTTAACCATGGTTAATCTAGAGCTAAATACACGGAGATAATGTTCTAGAGTTATCTATAGATCCACTATATAATGTACATCTATGTCATCATTGTAAATCAGTCATTTAATCATTAAAATCCAGTTTTATAAAAGCTCTTTCATGGTATCAGAGCCAGGTTGAAATCAAAGCCTATGAAGGAGGTATTTTCTTGCATCAAGCTGTGTATGCAAGAGATATACTCCACACAGCAGCCATGACTGATTGTAATCCAATGCTGCCGCCACTCCCGCAAGATATAGACAACCTCAACTCTTATCTGTTTCCAACCAACCTACTTTAGGAGTCTTGCTGGAAAGCTCCAATATCTCACTATAACTAGGCGAGACATCCAATTCGCGGTAAATTTCGTCTGCCAGAGGATGTATAACCAACTTTCTCTGATTTTGGACTCCTGAAAAGGATTCTCAGATATGTCAAAGGGACAATTGATCTTGGTTTGCATATTAAGAAAAATCAAGATACGAGTCTAACAGCTTACTGTGACAGTGACTATGGTGGATGCAAAGAAACAAGGAGATCTACAACGGGATTTTGCACGATGATGGATCCTAATCTAATTTCGTGGTCAGCCAAAAGACAACAAACAGTGTCAAAATCATCAATGGAGGCCGAGTATAGAGCCCTTACCGCGACAGCGCAGGAGATAACGTGGCTTTCTGCTCTCCTCGGAGACCTTGGTATTCCACAGACAAAATCAACTCTGCTTCAATGCGACAATCTGTCCGCCGTGTATCTCAGCGCTAATCCAGCTCTTCACAATCAATTGAAGCACTTTGATACGGACTGGCACTACATTCGCGAGCAAGTGGCTCTTGGGCTCATAGAAACAAAGCACATTCCGGCTAAGGAGCAGCTCGAGGACATTTTTACGAAACCTCTCACTCGGCGACCGTTCAGTGAACTGAGAGACAAACTCCGAGTCGGAAAGTTTCCCACCTCGAGTTTGAGGGGGGAGGTGAGTCAACAAGGCCCAGGTACACCAAGCCCAGTGAAGGAGAAGCCCATAAACTATATTCAGAAGAAGACAAGAGTGAAAACTGTCTCGGAAAAGAAGGAGAAAGAGCCGTTAGAGCTTATCAACAAGTTTACCATACTTGGTACTCTTAACCATGGTTAATCTAGAGCTAAATACATGGAGATAAGGTTCTAGAGTTATCTATAGATCCACTGTTAGAGCAGAAATTAGCACAATTTCCCTGAGCCCGTCACAATTAATAATACTGTGTAAGCCCGGCCCGCTTCCACTTCCACCTCCTCAAAGAAAAGGAAGTACTTGGAGAAAAAGACTACATCCAAGAAAAATAGAAGGAGATCAACGCCAAAGAAGAATATTTCCAAAAGAAATATGAAAGAATATCTTGAAGAAGCCAACCTCCTCTCCATATAAATAGAAGACCCCCTATTCCTTGAAGACCATCCACAAGCATCCAGAAATATTCAGAAAACCCTAGTCATAATTCGTCCTTTGTTTTTAGCTTCTCTATTATTTTCGTATTCGTCTCGTCAAGCCTTATCGTCGAGACGAATCACCCCTTGTACCATCTTTGTCTTTGGTTGATCTAATAAAGAGTCTCTCCTAAACCTCACATCTCTTATCTTACTATTACTGTGCGATTTTGAGATCTTACATCCACTATATAATGTACTTCTATATCATCATTACCATACTTGGTACTCTTAACCATGGTTAATCTAGAGCTAAATACATAGAGATAAGGTTCTAGAGTTATCTATAGATCCACTATATAATGTACCTCTATGTCATCATTACCATACTTGGTACTTTTAACCATGGTTAATCTAGAGCTAAATACACGGAGATAAGGTTCTAGAGTTATCTATAGATCCACTATATAATGAACCTCTATATCATCATTACCATACTTGGTACTCTTAACCATGGTTAATCTAGAGCTAAATACACTGAGATAAGGTTCTAGAGTTATCTATAGATCCACTATATAATGTACCTCTATGTCATCATTGTAAATCAGTCATTTAATCAATAAAGTCCAGTTTTATAAAAGCTCTTTCAGAGATTACTTGTACGCTTTGAATATCAACTACAAGGAGAATGATCATCCAGAGTTCATTGGCTTGTGGACAGAAGATTTTTCTAAGCATTTCGATGAGTTAGAATTGGACATAATGAGATGGAATATCAACACAGTGCACTTCGTGGAGGCACCTTCAGGCGAACAATTCCTTGTCAAATGGTATAATATATTTCTATTCTTTCTTCGTCTTTTTATTTATAGATTTATAAAAATGATGATTTCTTCTTTTTTTTATATATAAATGTTTGTAAGGTTTTTCGATGATGACCTTGAAATTCACAATGAGTTGACTCAAGTCACGAGCAGAACAACGCATTTCGTGGTGTTTAGAGCAGAGGATCATCCTATAGAAAAGAAGAAAAAAACAATTGTTCTACACAGAGGACATTGGAGATCTTTGTATCTTTCTTGGATATGGTGACCCTTTCTGTGTCCGAGCTAGCTCGCATCCGGGTCTTCGTCCTAGTTGCATTTATTTTGTCGGATATAACTTTGGTGTTTACGATATCACCGACAAAAATTGCACTATCTTTTTCAATAAGGAAGGTCCATTAACATCCTCTGAGTTACCTTACTGGCATCATCCCTGATTAATGTTGGCTTTAATCAGTTTAATAATATTTTATACTAGGTGGGAACCCGCGCTGTGCGCAGGATTATGGTCCAACATGGATTCTGTAAATGTGGTTATTATTTTCTTTTCGTATAATGTTTTGCAATAAATTATTTTATATTTATTTTGCATTTGTTATATGGTACGGAAAATTTACTTTGTGTTCGTGATATGTAATGATTTTCTAGTCTTGATGTGGCTCACCATAATATATTAGTAAGGGAAATTTTGTCCAATATCATTGGGAGTATTAAAAATATTTATATTTATTCCAATATTATCACTTCCCAAATCTTTATAAGAAATTTCTTTTCTAGTTGTCTGTTAACCTTCCTTTATTCGTTCGCCGACTTTTATTATACTGCAGATATACCTTGAGAGGAAAATAGGTTTATAAAAATCAGGTCTCAGCCTCTCAATAGAGAAGGATTTATAAGATAGAGAAGTATCAATAGAGAAGCTCATAATTACATGTCATTGTTTTTTTATGAATTGTTAAATGTAAATGTCTCGATTTTCTTTGCGGTTAGGCTGAACCTGAGAACTGAAAATGCAAACAATTACATTGGAATCCCAAAAGTTAACGAACAATGTAGAGAACGTATTTGTAGTAGAGATTAGATTAATTCTCTTCTACAGTAAGGACATGATGTTCTGTAATATAACCAATGTGCAATACAGTCATGGTGGAATTTATGACTGCAACTCAAAGTGTTGATGTTTTGAGAACCTCTTAGTTTGTCAAGACATATAGGACAATTACCATGTTATTCTTCTGTAGCTTGAGCTTGTGTTGCTTCTAGGTCTGTGATTACCAGGTCGACATCCAATCTTCTTGATGAGTTTGGCTTGTGATCTTCAATTTCAAAGAAAACTTGTAGACGGTTTATGGGGTCCGCTTCCGGTGATATTACCGCTGTCTCAATAAAGTTTAATAATTTTTTCGTTAACGTACATATTGTGTCATCGTCAATGTCATGATATTCGATGAAGAATTTGACTGTCTGCGTAAAACTTGAATTAGTTTCTTCAATGATTTGATTTGATTGTTGGTAAAAGGGATCGTGTAGCTGAGGTTGAATTCTTGTCGTAGCGGTCGAGTGATTTTGAGATGGAGTTTGTTTTAGTATGGTGGTGTATATGGTACTCTCATGTAATACAATCCAAATAGTATATTGTTCATGGTGTTTTCGATAGCGTGTGTGGTATTTGAATTCTTGTTGGAATGTTGTTGTATGGTATTTTCCTATATATATATATATATATAAATTTCCATTTGTCCATACTTCCATTTGTCCATATTTCTAGAAAATGAATATTATTTATTCGCATTTTCAACGTTCATGAAGAAGTTGCATAGTTTTTTTCTTCCATTTCTTGAGTTTTGATAAAAAATTAAGAAAAAAATGAGTTGTTTAGAAAGGATGTCAGAGGTGAAATAAATGTGTGATGACACATGGCAGCTTCTCAGGTAGTGAGAAACATGGTAACTACATCATATTAGAATATATATATATATATATATATATATATATATATATATATTTTTGTGTTTTGTTTCAAAATATAAATAAATAAAATATGTAAAATCAACTAAAATAGTCAAAATTCATTTATCATTTGATAACTATAGCTTTTGAAGTTTCATATGTAATATATTGAAAATCAATTTATTGTTTTGTTTACGTTTCTTTAGTTCATTACTTCACTTCACGCTTTCATATGCATAGAATTGTCCACATTTACTCTTCAATAAAAATTTTAAGGTAATCAAGAAAAAATATGCACATATCCCTAATATATTAAAAGAGAAAACACTAACTAAATAACCTTTGTCTAATGTGTTATTAACAAGAATGTCATTGCTTAGGTGTCATCACTAGGTTCACTCTTAGAGCAATTTCTAATTAAGACAAGCTTTACTAGACAAATTACAATATATGCCATTGCATATTATGCTTACAACCAAATAATGAAATTAAATTTATCATTCTCTTTCCTTAATTGGCAACTACGAAAATTAGTAAATAAGGAAGATATGAGATTCAATTTAATTCATCATAATAATTTCTTTTAAAATCAGTATACATCTTCTATCATCTTTGTTTAAATTTATTTAATAAAATAATTTGAATCACAATATAAAAAATCTATCAAAAAAATCTAAAACTTTTTCTGTACATGTTATGATTTGAATTTTTAAAAACAAAATAATATAAATTGTTTCGTATATAACCTCATTTAGTAGGTATCCAAAGGTAATTTTTTTTTTCATTTAATATGGTTTTTTAATTAAAATCTATAATTAAATCGAATAAAAAAAGTTCTTTTTATAAATATTTTATTTTGATTAAACTTTTGAATATTACTCTATCTGTTTCAACTTTCTATACAAAATTAATTATATTTTTGCTGTTTTGACAATTTGGATTCTGCATATTATTTTCTGATTGGTTGGATTGTTTTGAAATTATAATAAAGCATGTTTTAGTTTTGAAAGAAAGAAAAAATTAGTTCTAATCCGTGTCCACACAGCTAAAACTTTTTATCTTATGAAATACATGATGTATAATTTTTCTAAAGAATAATGTTTTATTTTCAATTTTTTTCTTTAAACTATCTTATTATATTATAGTTATTTGAGTTTTATGTATCTCGGTTAAATCTATCATATTTAATATGTGGTTACGATCAATGCTTTAATTTATTTTTTTTTTAAATGGATTAAAATGCCTAATTTTCATACTATAAACGAATAACAAAGGTTAAAAATCTCTCGCATAAAATGTCGAAATATTTAAATAAACATTTTTTAATAAAAATACAAATTCAGAAACTATCACCCCGTGCAGGGCACGGGTCAAACCCTAGTCCATAAATAAAGATCTTAACCGTAGAACAGTGTTTTTATTTTGAAAGTATAATAACTATTAATTCGTAGATTCAATTTAATATAGAGTATATATAAACCTTTTGAATTTTGGAGTGTGGCTCAAGGTAAATAAATTTGATGGTTATGTGATTCCCTTACATATGGAACAATATAGTTTTATTTCACTTCCTTTAATTATGTAATCAAGCTTTATTATTTTCATTTTTTTCTTGGTGACCAAGGCTTTTTTTCCTTTACAAGCCTCTACAGTAAATTTGGCATAAAAATGAAAATACTCACAAAAAGTCACCAAACTAATTTAGAAAATATCGGAAAAATGTCTCAAGTTCTTAACTGAGTCGTCAAGCCCCTTGTCTGCAAAAAGTTTCTTGTAAGCCCCTTTCATAGAAGTTAAGATTTTGTATAATTTTGTCATAACCTCTATGAAAGAAACTCATCATCCCCAAATATATATCTAGTGAAGTGATATTGAATATGTAAAAGTTTCTACAACAGTGTGGAAAACTTCAGAAATATATTGTTGTCCATATACTTCTAGACATTTTGACGAGTAT